TGAAGGGTGGGATATGGCGTGAATTTACTGGGTACACAGGAATAACACCCGAGTCCTCAGGAATGGCAACGCATGGGGGGTATCATGAGCGAAACAGTATACTCTGTTATGTCCATGGTACTGCTCATGTGTAAAGGCGACGGTTACCACTTTTCATCAGGTGGGCCGTCAGCTTGTGTGTCATTCTAAGTTGTATAAAAAAATATATATATAAATAAATAGACAAAAAAATTAACAGAAATTTCAAAAATCTTAGAAGACCTAACTACTTAATAAAGACGAACCATGTTTATCAGGTCAGCTAGTATGATATGAGGTAAATTGTATAATGATTCATAAACAGTAGGCTTTTTAACCCCTCCGGACGAACCCGGACATTCATATTGTACTGAGACTCTGAGACATCTTTCACCAAAATAAGTTAACGAGACAAAGGTCGTGCACCATATGGCGGAGCGGGCGGCCTTGTATATTCATTCCGGCTTTGTTGCTTTCTTACTTGTGCGTCTAGTTTACTTTGGCCATTTTTAAGCGAGCCTTTTGTTTGTCTTTTATTTATTATTGGTTGTATACAGTGACGTCGTCCGCGTAAATCAAAAGTTTATGAAGAATCCTTACCAATTATCCATCCGTTCTTAGAAACTTGCATGTATAATATTCATAGGACTAGCCATTGCCCGCGACTTTGCACACATAGTATCGTGTTTCTTTTTTAAGCTAAAATTTTCAAAAATCCTTCCTTACGAAATAGTCGTGTTATAAAATAAATCCATATGGAGGTCGACCAGACAGGGTATATTGCTAGTAATGGGGCTATTTGACTCCATTACTAATAATCTCTTTCCCCCAGGACAAAGGTGTTGCTCCTGTGTACCCTGTAAATTCACTGCCAATTCACCCTTTAAACCGAAACACAGCCATGCAAACGAATGTTTCATGGCTGAATGAATGAATGATAACTCTATTTTGCTGAAATACGAAAGGTGCAGAGGTACTTAAGCAAACGACTTTTGTACAAAGTGTCCTCTAGTAAAACTGCTTATTTCGAAGCAAAACCTCCTTCTTTATATGTATATATACAACACCGCATTCTGAATTCAAATATTTTGAATATTTCAATTTGGAATTCATTCGAATGCCTCGCCATTCATCGGCCTATATTGTTACGGTGTTACCTGTTTTTTTTTTAAATATACTTGTAAGAAAATGGAGACTAAGGACATCAACCAAACATCTTTACTCACGTTTGGCCGTTAAATCATTATTACACGATTCTAACCATTAACATCTGAGATAGAGTACAAAAAGTGTACAATTTGCAAATTGGCGTGTGTTTAGGTTTTTTTTTTCTAATTTATCACGTACGTAGTTTATCTGTGGGCGGGTGCATCGACCCCTCAGGATGTTAGTTGAGCCTGCGACAGAATTCTAAAAACGGTCAGTGAGGCTACATTCCGAGTGACAGCGATTAGCGGGAAATGGTTTGTCATATATTTTTTTGTATATACTTTTTTAGTATTTTGATATTTCAATATCAGATTCATCTGGATTGACAAATATTTTTTATTCTCTCTTGAGATACTTTTAACAAAAAGATTATCATTTCAAATTTACTTTTAAATACATTAAAATAATTAAAGTATTTAGTGGCTAAACTGAGGAACTGCATTTATGTTGTTTCCAGAGTTATTGTATTTTAATTAAAATGGAATATACAGACAGGTTATATTTTAACTAATTTACGTAGGAGAAACCGCGAGATAATATATATATATATATTACTATATTAAGTATTACTTTATAAATATTTCCTTAATTCAATAATGCACCGCCTACGTATTTCTCGGTTTGCCCAATAGTTGACTGATGGAAAACACCGTCCGGTGTTAAGATCGCCAAATGTATAAAGAATTTCACTGTGCATTGAATGAATGAATGATAACATTATTTGCTCGAATACAGGTTAATACATTAGAAGTATTAATGTTAAAGAAAAGACTCTCTGCATTCACTCACTCTCTCATGCATTGTGTGTACGTTAATCACTGCTGCGCAATTTCCAATGGAATAGATAAACTTTTTATTTGAGCCATTTATGACACACGTAAATTTACAAATGAATTTATACAAAAATATATAACAAAAGAAAAATATAATATGAAAATATGGTTTCGCCATGTGTGTCGCAGTGACCCAAATAGGCTACCGCTTAGTAATGGTTTTGCTTAAAAGCAAAGCACTGATTTTCAGCTGCAGCCTGAAGTTTCATCTATATACTATTTAATATATATGTGTGTATGTCTATGTGTGTGTGTGTGTGTGTGTGTATGTGTGTATATATGTGTGTGTAAATTTACTTACATTAGTTTTAAGAATATTGTTACTAATAAATATTTAATGAAGTAAAAAATTCCGAAATAAATATTATTATTATTATTGAAGTTTAAATGTGTTCATTATCAAAGTATGTTTGTTATACAAAGTTTAACACTGATTCCTACACTAGGCTGAGACGGTGTTGTAGAAAACGGAAATCATATTGCCAAATACATGCTTATAAATAAATAAATAATATATCTGAGTGCTCGCTTATCGCGTAATATTGGACCGCAGCTTTACAAAACGTATAAGTTTCTTGCCCCCGCGTGTGTTTGCACAGCGGGCGAGTTCCGGATATAGTATAATAACCATATTTACTAGGAAATGTCGATTTATATGGAATTTTGAATTGTGCACATAACAGAACCTCGCGTCTGTATTGGATTTATCGGTCACACGTCTGTCGGTCCGTTCGTTCTATGAATGTGTTACAACCGTATCTATTTATGGCTTAACGACAAGGGAAGTTAATACTAAATATTTATTAGAAAGCCTAACTGCGATTGCTAATCCGCCTGGAAAGTGTGGCAACTACTGGCAACCCCCCCCCCCCTTATGGGGGAGGCCTATATTCAGTAATGGAAACTTAACGGCAATATTATTTAAAACATAATTTTAACTTCACTACTGCACATTTTAAGACCATTAGTTGCCTCTTACGACACCCACTAGAGGGGGGGGGGGCTATCCTATGCTGGACCTTTAGTTTTTCTACATAAGTGCAGTCACAGTTGATAATAAAACTACATGCGGATATCCTTTCGGATTTTAACGTCTAACGAAACTCGGAACTTATTTTGTTAGTGGCATAACAGGAAACACTGGCCGCTTGCCAAAATAAAAAAAAAAAAACTACGCATAGACTAATATTTAAATCCCATACATGACGACTTAACTGACGTAATCAGATGGCGAGGGTTTAGACCGGCCCCCCGCCACGACCGGGTAACCGTGTAGCGTGGGACTCCCCCTACGCATAGACTACATTACAATCGAATAATTTTTTTTTATAGATACTTCTTAATTCAAAACTTCAAATCGACAAAATAACGTAGCGTATTTTTTGCGCGTGTATCTCTCGTCAAAACTCGAACAGCATATTTTTTTTTTTTTATTATAATTTTTTTTTCCCGCGTAATTGTATATTATTGAGTGATATGAGATGAGATACAGCGTTGAATAATAAATTACATTGGAAATGATGATTGACTGGTGATTTTAACGTCTTATAACTTTAAGACTTGAACTATTGTTTGATTTATTATATTAAGATTCCGTATGTTATGTGTTTGATAAATGTAATTATTAATTCTTTTGGTAAAAGAATAATCCTATCAAAAATATAATACAAAAATACCAAGACTCGCAACGCAGTACTTCCACTACATAAAGTTGTGACATCTCTTATATAACTAAATCAGTTATTTTATTTCTATAAAAATACCTTAGATTATATAGATCGGAGAATCGAGTCTCAAAAACGGGTCAACTTTTTGTCAGCTAATTGTTTAATTAGCTAGTAATATTTTATGTGTTTATTTATATGTGTATTTACTGTATGTATTTATTATATGTATATATATATTTATTTATTTAATATATTATATGTATGTTTATATTATATGAATTTATCAAGTATTGTTTTATTTTATCTCTATTAAAAAAAAAAATGCACCGCCTACGTATTTCTCGGTTCGCCCAATGGTTGACTGGTAGAGAACACCGTCCGGTGTTAAATCCGCCATATGTACATAGAATTTTACTGCGTATTAAAGTTTAAATTAATAAATAAAATAAAAATATTTTATCCCCATGAACAAACCATCGAAGTACAGGTAGTTTAATATGATCCAATAGATTTTGATTCATCGTATCGAACCCTAAAACTGTTATTAAAAATGAACTCCGATGTCATTGACCCCTCACATGACGAGTCGATGTGATGATACTGGATGCGTATCTATTGTAACATATCTTAGTCATCAGACACAGTAATGTCACAGGCATCGCCTACTGACATAGGTGCCTACAAACAACGCTGTTAATTTCTTATATTTAAATATTTAATCATATTCATGACAGATTTATTTTATTAATTTAAAAATTAATAAAAATTTGGGGGGAACTACGGGGAAGTAAACTTGATAGGGTATTTTTTTTTATGCGTAAAAATTGTATGGTAACCCCGCTTGCGCTAACGGGATACGCTGGTGGAGCACCAGTGAAGGGTGATAGATGAGAATGAAAACAAGCCAGTTAGCCCATCATGATGAATTCATCAGGAATTAACCATGATAGTTTCTAGGGGGAACCGCGAGGAGGTCGACCTGGTTGAGTATATTGCTAGCAATGGGATTCTCAGTCTCCATTACTAACAATCCCTTTCCCCCCTGATAGGGTATTTGCAATAGGGCTGACAGTCTGCATTACTAAAAACCCTTTTCAGTTTATTTTTTATGTTTTTTTTTAATAATTTGTCAAGAATAAACAATTTGTTATTTTTTTTATATGGATAAATTATTTTTTCTTGAAATTATTACTCTTCCTCTGTGTAACTCTCATACAAGATTTAAAATTTAAAAAATAAAAAAAAATTAAATATACTATTTTGTCTGTTTCAGGCTGAACGATATCGCGAGAGACGGCGGCTCGCCACCCCCAGTCCAACCCCGTCCCCCCCACGACGGCAGCCCGCACCGCCGCCCGCGACCTCCGCTGGCAACTGGTTCAAGTCACTCGACAGGCTCACCGCCAGGAAACGAGGGAAGAGTGCCAGCGCCAAGGTAATTAGTAATTCTATCAACTGGATGTAGTAAATAAATAAGAAATATCACAAACACTAGTTTTTATTTATGAATAAGGGACAAACCTACGGCCCATTTGATGGAAAGCTGTCGCCGTCGCCTATCGACATGAACAACACCATGGACGTAACAGAATCTGTGATTCCATGGTAGCTCTCATACGTTGCCACTATCAAGGACTATAATGTTATGCCTCCGTACCCTGTAATTTCACTGCCATATCCCACCCCTTAAATTTTTTTTATACAACTTACAATCGCAAACAAGCTGACGACCCACCTGATGGAAAGTGGTAACCATCGCCTATAGACATGAGCAGTACCATGGACATAACAGAGTATACTGTTTCGCCCATGATACCCCCCATGCGTTGCCATTCCTGGGGACTCCGATGTTATTCCTCTGTACCCAGTAAATTCACGCCATATCCCACCCTTCAAACCGAAACACAGCCATGCAAACACAACTGCTTCACGGTTGAAACACGAATGGGACAGGGGTACCCAAGCAATCGACTTTTGTACAAAGTCTCCCTCTTGTAAATTACTTTAAATCTTCGCTCCTCTATAAATAGTAAGATATCGAACAGAAATTTTGCATATTGATGCAAACTTTCCTTATGCTACTTTCAGATGTAAATAATTAGTTTACCTTTTACCTATAGGTAGAGTCATCCTCAACCAAACACACTTGGGCAAATTTCTGATAGCACCTTGACAACAAAAACAACAAAAACATAGTCAGCATGCGACCTTTTTCTATGCTGCGTCAGCAGGAAAGCGTTAATTAAAGGGTCTAACAACCCCATAGCTAGCGATATAACCTTTAAGGACGGTCTCCACGTTGTTTCCTGCGAAAATTTAATTATTGTTGGATTTGTCATAATAGGGTAAATGACCAGCCTCTCTCTGATGCACCAGCAGCTTACTATAGCATTTTTATCCTTACTATGGTGCATAGTGACTAAAACAAGAGGTATAGCGTATTCTTGGTGTTACGGGCCAAAGAAAACGTCTTTACTGCGGGAATTTACTTTTACTTGAGGTGAACATACAAAACTGTATCTAACATTGTAGCACAAAAAAAACATGGGCATTAAAAAATATCATACACAGTACAGTGTAATCAGAGATCTCTCCCATTCGCTCACCTAGAGCACACAATCGTGGAATCGAGCTGGAAGGCGGCGCTGGCGCTGGCGGCCTCCGCTCTCTCGATTACCGAGAGTCGGTAATCGATTATCGGCTACAGATGTTACAGAAGCCTGAATCTTCTGTTCAATCTTTAAATGTCAACGTCGAATATGATTTGCTTAAGTTCACTCTTAATTTTTCACTTTTCAGGTCGAGAAAGAAAGCATTATAACTACAGAAGATGAATCAACAAGGAAACCCTGGTCGAAGTCAACTAAGCCCCTCAACTCGCCAGCAAAGAACCTTCGTTTCTTTGGTGACACCGATGTGGATTCTGATGCAAACGTGAAACAAACAGTGACAAAAACGAAAAGCCATCCATTAAAAACTCATGGGACCTTGAGAAAAACTATATCTAACTCGAGCACTGGAATCGATGAGGTCGACCATAGTGAATTGTCGAATAAGAGCTATTCTCTATCAAACCTGCATAGAGAAGAGAAGAGCGAGTCACCCAAAAATAGATATTACAAGAGAAATCTACAAAATATTTCGGAGATACACAGCAATTCGGAGACTGAGAGCCAATTCGATAGGAAGGTGAATATGAAGCCACCAATAAGTCCATATGAGAGATCCAGGAGCCACAGCAGTTCGAAGACACTGATGGGGAGCAAGAATGATGTGAGGAGACAAAGGAAAGAAGATAGGGGTAGCTCTTCGGAGTTGAGAAGCAGCAACCAGGACCTCAACAGGGATCTGAAGTATGTGACAATATCTGTATTATCATTAAAATAGGTTCCTCTAAATTTATCGCCTCCTAGTACCAATGGGCACGTATTTAAGTTTTCGTAATTCAAATTAGTTTTTAAAACTTTTTTTATATTACGTCCAGTAACCAGTTCTTTTTATTTATTTTTTATTAAATTTTACAGAATGATGTATGTAGTTGTATGTATGTAATTGTGATCCTCGCGAAGAAGTAAAAACTTTTTAAGTCAGTATTAAACAATTTGACTAACATAAATTGTTGATTGTCTGATCTTAGTCATTCTTTTTAAATAAAATAAAACACACGACAAAAAATAAATAATAATTAATCAATCCCATACTAGGTACGTTATTATTGTTAGTAGGCGGCTTGATTAGTTTGTGTACTGCTTGCCAAGGCCTTTAATGTGTATTTCGATTATTTTTCTTCATAAAAAAGTGATACAACATTTTCGAAATACGCCATATTGGATTTATCATGACGTCATTATAACCTATCTCTTTGTCCGGATTAGGAATGTGGTCGAGCACTAAAACATTTAAATTAACCTCAACGTAAAAAGAAATTTATTTATTTAAATAACTTAATTGACTAAATAAAAATATGACACAAAAATTGGACTTAATGCTAGTAGCATTCTCTACCAGTCAATCTTTAGGGTGAACAGTGAATCACGAACGCGGTACTAATCTAATCCTAATAATGATATTTTTTTATGGGTGAAAATGGAATGGTAACTCCGCCTGCGCTAACGGGATACGCTGACGGAGCACCAGTGAAGGGTGATAGATGAGAATGAAAACAGGCCAGTTAGCCCATCGTGATGAATTCATCAGGAATTAACCATGATAGTTTCCAGGGGGAACCGCGAGGAGGTCGACCTGGCTATTATATATATATATATTGCTAGCAATGGGATTCTCAGTCTCCATTACTAACATAATAATGATATTAGGATAGGAAATGATAATAACAGAAAATTACATGACGTCATTCCACTCCTTATCCCCAAAATGTCGTAAAAGGCGACTTTTTTAATCCTTACTTTATATTTTAGTATGGTATGGTAACCCCACCTACGCTGGGGGAAAGGTATTGTCTTTGTCGTACATAATATGTACGAGAACGAAGTCGCGAGTAAAAAGTAGTCTAGAAATTAAAATTGTCTAGCCAGCTCGACAATAGTAGGCTACATCTGCCTCTTAAAAAGTGCCCAATAATAGGAGAGTGGTGGGTTGTTAAAACATGCAACTTATTTGCAGACACCGGCGTCGCACGCCGGCCACCAACTCTGGGGAGAGCAGCACTGAGGGTGACTCCAGTCACCAGTCGCAGCGGAGTGTCGTCTACTTGCATGCGACCACTGGTACTGTTCTTTTCTCTAAGTATCATAAATTGTTTAATTTATTTATCTTAATATATTTATATATATAATATTTATTTATATAAATACTTATTAAAGCCTATTTTATTATCTAAAGACAAAACAATATCACTCTATATTTTTTTAATTCACCACAATTGGAACATAATAAAATAAAAAAAAAATCATACATAGACGAAAGAATGAAAATACATAATATGCAAATCGTGTAATTACCAGTAAGTGATGGCCACATCAGTGTGTGTATCTACACGCGAAGACAGGTCCGCGTCACTTCATATAAAAATACGTCTGTATGAAATCTATGCAACCAGTTTATTTAATTTGAATAACCTTTTAGACAATAATAAATTATAAATATGTAGTTGTACGCGCAAACACTACAAATAATCATTTATTTTATTGTGTTAATACTTTTAGGCAATACTTTTATTACACAAGTTGATCTATTCGACGTCAGTTTGTTTGTCGTCCCTTTATCTATATTAATATAAAGAAATATCAAAAAATTGCCTAATTAAGCTAATATAAAATACAAATTTATTTTCCTCCCTACCGGTGCGGAGCGGGAGTGGAATAATACTTCTTAAAACTTAAATATAGATTTTGCCATTATAAAATATATAGTATACAAATACCAATATAAACGAAATATTAATATGCACTTACTAAAATCAAATAAATTTTTAAAGTATAAATAAATTAATCTAGTATATTTATTTCAGTTGGTGACATTCCGGATCCAGGAAGACTGACGCGCAATCGTTCCCGGGACGACGTCTCTTCGGTGAACTCTTCAAACATTCAAGTCCGCAGCACCACAAAGAGTTTCTCAATATTCGCGCCATGGACCCCAAGACATTACAATGATCAACACGATGTCCATTACGCTCAGAGACCGCGAAAAGTAAAACCTAAAGAGATCCCCTCCAAAAAAACGTCATCGACAAGAAATCTTGTTGAAGATAGACCTACACTGCAGAAAAACAAGTCATTTAGTCAGACAACGTTGACTAGAAAACCGCAAAATAGTCGATTAACAAGCTCCAGTACAACACTATACAGAAAACCGGAGAAACGTAAAGAAATCGACCAAAATACAACACTATCCCGCAAGTCGGTTACGCGGGACGGTAAAAAAAGTCAATCGAGCGAAATTTTAAATCGAGATAGTCGCGACAGAGTTTCCCGGTCAATTTCAATGCCTAAAGACAATAATAAAAAAGCTGGCTGGTTTAAATTATCTAACAAGAATAAAAAACAAGAAATTAATACTAGAGTGCGTTAAATATTAGATATATATTTATTTACAATCTCTTACCACAGACACTTCGAATTTCTACGAATAGCTGGAAATAATAAGTATAGCCTAAGTTACTTAAAATAATATCTTTTAAAGGACTGCGCTCTAAAATTACGCGCCAATCTAATAAAATGGCAACACCAAAAAGCTGTTACTATTTTATTAATGGCGTTGCTAGAAAAAGCCAGCCAGTGAAAGTTTATGTAAGTTTTTAAAAGTTAGTCTCACTTAAATCACCTAGTAGCGTCGTAAATTAACAGCAGGAACTGGTGCTATAAACGTAAGATTTTATTTTAATTAATTTGTGGTTACAATCAAAAGTGCCATGACCACTTTAATGTTACCATTTTCTTAATGAGTAAAATTTTCCGTAAGGCTGTACAAAATAAGGGTTTGTGAAAACATAATTAGCCATAAATGATTTACATGCCAGTTTTTGTCTGCGACTTTGTTCGCGTGACTGGGATGGATTAAATGTAACCTATATCCTTCTCCATTGCAGTAACTACGTGTAAAGTATATCATCATGACGATATGGTGCCAAGAGGTGTGTTTAATAAACAAACAAGCAAAATCACATTTTACTTTATAATACCAATAAGGGTTATAAATGTAAAAACAGTTCCTCTTTATAAAATTTCCAGTAAAATCTCACACACATCATTTGGAGGAACAATAATTATCTCAACTTTATATTCTCCTCTGTTTTATTGAAAAAAAAGTACATATGTGTTGAAGGTAAATTGTTTAATATAATGAAAAATATATTAACATATAAAATATTATTCTTACATTTCATTAGCTCTTTATAATCTTGGTAAATCTTGGTTGCATCAAATCATACCAAATATTACCTAGAGAGTAGGAGTGAGGAATCCATATTAAAAATATCTATACCAAATACCCGTACGTTGCAGTAAAAAAATATAGGTTACATAAAAATAATGGTTAATTTTGTATTTCAGAACGTAACAATCAGCTTTGCGGAAATGTGATAAATAGTCATATTAATTTTTAAGTTTATGTAATAAAACGCTTCCATCACTGTACTAATAGACTTTAATAAATGCATTGTTTTTTTTTTTATATTAATTAAAATAGTTCGTTTGTGAGATCTTTCCTCATTAGAAACATCTCCAAACGAATCCTAGCTCTATATTATAATCTTAATTTAGTATTTCTAGGAATTGACGCTTCTAATACATCGAAATGTCTTATTAATAAATATGAATGAAGAAATTTTAATATGTACTTATTTGTAATGTGAATTATAAATAAAATTTCATTAAGAATTTTTATTTTTATTTATTGCTATATCTATACAAGTACGTACCTTCTAATAATCCTAAAGTACAGGATTTACCTATTTAGGGAGCAGAGTTTTACCTATATTTAAAATGTAACATTTATTTTGAAATAAATTATTATTATTATTAATAATCAACTATATACCTAACACCTAAGTTTGAGGGGGAAGCGATCGTTAGTAATGGGGAGGTGAGACCCCAATTTTTTTAATGCATGATGAATGGAGTGATAACCCCGCATGAGCTAACGGTATACGCTGGCGGGGCACCAGAGAGGGATGATACGTGAATAATGAAAAAAAGCAGGTCAGTCAGCCCATTGTGATGAATACACCTGGAACTCAGCACGATGGTTTCCAGGGGGAACCGCGTGGAGGTCGACCTGACAGGGTATATTGCTAGCAATGGAACTGGTAGCCCGCATTACTAACGATCCCTTCCCCCCCCCCCCCCCCATTGCTATTGATATACCCTATAAGGTCGACCTCCACGTGGTTAACCCTAAACTATCGTGACTAATTTATCGTTGAATTCGTCGCGATGGGCTAACTGACCTGCGTCATCATTTCATCCTCACCTATCATATCTCACTAGTGCCCCCCTAGTGAGATACCGTTAGCGCGGATGGGGTTATCACCCATTATCGTTCATTAAAAAAAACACTTTAGCCTACACCTTAGACATTATTTAAAAAAATGGAACATTCTTAAATAAATTTGTGTTTATAGTACACTCTAATTCTTTTTTTTTGGATGCAATGGAATGCGCTAACGGTATATACTAGCGGAGAACCAGTGAGGGATAATAGGGGAGGATGAAAAGACAGGTCAGTTAGCACATCGTAATGAATACAATAGGAATTCAACACAGTGGTTTTCAAGGGGGAACAAGTGAAGGTCGACCTGACAGAGTATACAGCTAGCCATGGAACTGGTAGTCCGCATTCTAATTGCTTGGGTATAGCAAACGGATTATATGTTTTTTTTTTATGGAAATTGTTTAACCGCGTGGAAAATATTAATGTACGAATAAGTGTTGCGTGAAATAATTCTGATTCTTGACAGATTGTAAGTATTATATAGACGGCTCAAACGAACAAAAACTTTATACGTGACAGAGAGTTTAATACCTGTGTGAACATTTAGCTAAAGATTTATTAATAGTGTAACTTTGTTTTATGCGTTTTTATAGCATAGAATGAAAATGAAACGAAATCTATGTTTCTGATAATGGTAATTACAATAAAATCGATGTTCATCACGCCGAATTCATCAAGGATTAACCCCCAAACAGGTTATATTACTAGCGATGGAGACTAAACTTTATTATTAATAAGATTCGTACTTTATTATGGTTTCCATAGACGCTAAAACACATTATGTATATTCTTAAGAACAAGGGATTACGAAATCTTTGGTATATTCTAGTATGTCTATGGTTAATTACCACAACCATAAACATATTAGATATAGTTCCACGACTGTATTGACTATAGAAATAAATTCAATATCTTGAAAAATTTATTACGAACATTTTTTTTTTAAATCGATCGAGAACTCACTAACTAGAAATATTAAATATCAATCAGAAATTTATCCGAACGGTCGAGTGACAGTGATTATAGGTCTTTTAATATGCTCGTACGTCATTTTATAATTATCCATTTTTGATATTCCTATAAATTTCTATTTCTTTATTAACATTTTTTAGTTTTTCTAATGAAATGCGATTGAAAATTATTGTCAGTAGATATACTTTCATGGTATAGTAACAAATTTGTTAATATATCATTAATATACTCCTATTGATTTTATTTATAAAATATCATAATCTATCGACTCTATAAACAACCCTTTATCAACGTCATGCCAAATTGCTAATGCCAATTGTGCAAATGTCAATAAAGCGGGACTTTTACATTTTCCTCTTTTCCGGCGTATCTTATCATCAATTTAAATATTTCAATCAAGTTAATTTAATTATTTAATATAACTTATCGAAGTCAAAACAATATCATGGCACGAAGGTACCGGGATGCAGCCGCAAAACTACATCAAAACGTCCAGAAACACTTAAAGGAAATGAAAGACGTTTCTTCATCAGAAGATGAGGAACCCTTCGAATCTAGTGTACTGGAAGGAGTGTTCCAAACATATTGGAGAGGTGGCGGCGATACTCAAATGCTGAATCGCACTAAGAACATGCTAGAAGAGGCAATCAGCGGCCGGTCCGTCACTTGCCTTATTTGTATTGGTTCTATCAAGCGAGCAGACGCTATCTGGACTTGTGAGGACTGCCACTGCTATTTTCACCTATCCTGTATTCAGAAGTGGTCGAATGACAGTATAAGTTTGAGAAGTGAGGAGACCCACGCGCCTATTACTGTGTTTGTTCCCAAAAAAGTTGAGTGGTGTTGTCCCAAGTGTCGACACTCGTATAGCAAAGAAGAAATACCGCGTAAATACAGATGTTTCTGTGGCAAAGCTGATAATCCACCTCAGCATCCTTGGTTGATTCCACATTCGTGTGGAGAAGTATGTGGAAAGAGGCTATCCTTGAGTGACAATTGTAAACATAAATGTCTATTACTCTGTCACCCTGGACCTTGTCCACCATGTCCACAAACTGTCAATGGAGCCTGTTACTGTGAGAAGGAACGTAAGAGAGTTAGGTGTAGTGCAGCAAAATGGTCCTGTGGCCAACAGTGCAAAAGAATTCTACTTTGTAATTCTCACAAATGTGAAAATATCTGCCATGAAGATGAATGCCCTCCATGTAGCTATACAAGTGAGCAGCCATGCCAATGTGGCCATGAACGAACAAAAAGGCCATGCAACAACCCTTTCTGGCAATGCAAACGGCCTTGTAATAAACCATTCTCTTGTGGCTACCACAAATGCGAAAAAATATGCCATTCTGGTCCCTGTGGGACATGCCCAAATTCTGGCTTACGTTCTTGTCCGTGTGGTGCTGACCAACGCTATGTACAGTGTCCGGATGTCATGGAACCTTGTTTAGGTACATGTAATAAAAAACATGATGATTGTGAGCACAGTTGCCCTGAGAAATGCCATAAAGGCCCATGTCCTCCATGTCAGGTTCTGATACAAAAAAAGTGTCATTGTAATGCACACACTCGTTCACTGCCCTGCAGCAAGGACTATAAGTGTGATACAAAGTGCCGTGGTACTAGGCCATGTGGGAAACACACATGTGGAAGAAAATGTTGTAATGGGAACTGCCCTCCATGTGAAAAAGTATGTGATAAACCACTTCAGTGTGGCCGTCATAAGTGCACTATGGTTTGCCATCATGGTCCATGCTACCCTTGTCCAAGGGAATCAAAAATAACATGTAGATGTAAGGAAACCTATGTTACTGTTCCGTGTGGCAGAGAGAAACAGATTAAACCACCAAAATGCCATTTGCCCTGCAAATTTAAATACAAATGTGGACATATAGATGAAAACAAACACTTTTGCCACTTTGGAGACTGTCCACCTTGTAAAGCAATTTGTTGTAAATCTTATCCGAATTGCACCCACAACTGTAAGGCAACATGCCATGCATATGTTGCTGTTGTCTTCAAACAAGTGGAGAAACCTGCAACACCTTGGGAAATAGAACCACCAAAGACAAAAATTCTTAACTTAGATTGTCCACCGTGTGAAACACTGGTCCCTGTTATATGCTTTGGTGAGCATGAAACAGAAGAACAGCCTTGCCATTCTGCTAAACGCCGTTGCTGTGGTAGAGAATGTAACCGGCCACTGTCTTGCGGTAATCACACTTGTGCTTTACTCTGCCACTTGTACTCTCCAAATCCTGACTATCCAAATGTGCCTTATAGTTGTAAGCCTTGTGATAGGGAGTGTCTCATAAGCCGTCCAGAGAAGTGTACACATAAGTGTGCCATACGGCAATGCCACCCAGGCCCATGCCCACCCTGTGAAGTGCTAGAGCGTGTTCCATGTAACTGCGGTCTCACTGAACTATACTTACGTTGCCGAGAGCTCTCTACAGCTACTGAAGTCACATTGTCATGTAAACAGCAGTGCCCAAAGAATTTGGAATGTGGACATCGTTGTCGCAACACCTGTCATGTTGGTAAATGTTCACAAGCACAGATTTGCACCAAGAAAACTAAGGTACACTGCGCTTGTGGTAATTTGAAAAAGGAATTCCCTTGCAATATCGTAAGAAATGGAGAAGCAAAAGTTCAATGTGATGTATCTTGTGAAGAAAAGAAGGTTGCAGCAAAATTAGAAGCTGAGAAAGAAGCACGAAGGCTGAAGGAGATAGAGGAAGAAAGAAACCGCAAGGAACTCGCCGAATACGAATGGAAATTGAGCGGTAAAAAGAAAAAGTATAAGGAAAAGAAAATTGTTGCCACCAAAGATAATAGAAATTGGTTGCAAAAGTACTGGGTTCCTATTTTATCACTTTTGATAGCCATACTGGCAATAGTATATTGCATTCTTTATATGTAAAGTATATTATAATTCATATCCAGTTATCTAATCAGGTTTATACAATAGTATGATAATTTTATGTTAATTAGAATTGACTTTATTGTATATTTTAATTTTTGAGATACTGTTACATAATTAGTAATGTAATGAATTACTATTATATATATATAAAAATTTTGGAACTTATGAAATATGCAAACCCCTAGACCCCAGCGGGTTTACCATGAAGTGAAATTCCAAAATTTCGGACTCAATTTCGTGTTTTTGTTTATACCAAAATCGGACCTATAAATGGAGTTTAACATTTTTTTCATCATACATCCTATCATAAAAGTCCAAAGGAACAATATTTTAACATTTTTAATATTTCCAAACGGCATGTATTATGTAATTTTAACATCAAATTTCTGTTTCGTTTGGCTCCGAAATTTCGGAAAACACTTCATGGTAGGCCCTTAGATTTTAGATTAGCACAAACCTATGTATTTATATAAAATCATCATGTGGCTTTTTCCACTTTTAAAGACTTGATAAGACAATTTGGTTGTGTCACACTTATTATTTGATTATTTAATTTATCAGATATTTATTTTTTCTGGGTTGATAGATAGATATTAAGTACGTATTAGATTATACGTACGATTTAATTAGTTACGTATGCACCAGTGAGTATGTGATTTTATTAAATGACATTTTGTTTATAATTGTTTTTTATTGTTATATTTTTATACTTTGATCCTCAGATATAAGATTACAAAAGCCATCTGCGTAGATACCTGTATACCACTCGAGTTTTTGCCATTAAATAATTTTGCTTGCAAGGCTGTGTTTCAGTTCGAAGGAATATAGCAGTAAAATTACAGGATATAGAGACGTAACATTGTTCTCAGGAATAACAACAAAAAACTCCAAAGTTTTTGGGTGATTTTCAACGAGCTGTAACTCCGAGGAAAATGATGGTACAGCAAAAAGAAAAAAAGCAAATTGCATCTCCAAGTGTCTAGTTTTTAGACATGACCATGAATAGTTTTTATCATGTTTGGGTCTAGAGTAATCCTAAGAAAACTACCAAAAAATTTTGCAATTTTTTTCTTATTTAAAGAAAGGTCTACGTGCTTAAAAAAAATGTATTCATTATTTTTTTTCAATAGCTCTTTTAGAAAATTTAATACTCTTTAATTTGACGTAATCAAAAAGCCTGTACTATGATTTGCCGCTGAGTTATCGCCAATCAAAGCAAAGTACTTTTTAACATTGACAATCAATAACTGGAAATAATGATCGTATAGGAAATCGAAGGAGAGTTTTGGAAACTACACGATATTCTCTATAAGATGCCGTGAATGGCTTTTGCTAAAAAAAAAATTTTTTTATTGAAAATTTTTACTAAAGACCAAAATTCGCATAATTAAGGATATTTGCATAACTTGGTATAACTTTGGTTAAAATAAATGAACGAAGGATATCATCGGTAATTTTTCAACCTCGAAGTGTCCCCTAAAATCGATGAAAAATTCAAAGTGCTGCGTTTTTTTTTTTCATAATGCCCAGAAGCTTTCTTTGGTTTTACAAAAATCACCATTATGAGCAATTTTTCGATTTTTATTTATTTTTCTATTGAAAAATTCTCAAAAATCTTAATTTTTTCGAACAAAGAGATTGATTATTAAGAAATTTAAAAACATATTCGTGGTACGTTTTAGGTAACGCTAATGCCGACGATAAGACAGCAGTCCAAAAAAATCGAAAAATTAAAAAAAAAATGAATTGTGTAAATTCTTAAACGATGAAAACAGGTCAGTTAGTCTATCATGAGAGGGGAAAAGGAATTGTTAGTAATGGTGATTAGTAACTCCATTACTAGCAATATACTATATTAGGTCGACCTCCTTGTGGTTCCTCCTGTAAACCATCGTCATTGATTTATTGTTAGATTCATCACGGTGGGCTAATTGACCTACTAAATCCTCACCTATCATTCTTCCTTTCTTCTTCCTTTACTGGTGCCCCGCCAGTGTATACTGATAGCGCAGGCGAGGTTACCATTCCATTATCATCCATTAAACAAAAAGTCCATCATGATGAATACATCTGAAATTCAGCACTATGATTTCCAGGGAGGACCACATGGAGGTCGACCTGACGGGGTACATTATAAGTAATACGACTAGTATTCTCTATTACTAACAATCCCTCCCCTCAATCAAGGATACCTGTTTGATTGAACTACTTGACCGATGGGAAAGAAATATTACTAAAATAAAAGAATTAAAATATCTAATTTTCGTCTTCCCAAGGTAAAAATTGAAAAAGAAAACACAATAATTTGAAATTTTATTATTATTCTAAATCTTTGGCACTCTTCTACGTTTTATAATTTTGAAAAGTGAAAACATTGAATGTATGTTTAAAAGTCATTTCAATGAATGATTGATTGACTCATTTGTCATTATTTAATTTAATATTTTTTAGTTTTTTTTTTTTATTTACAATTATTTCATAATATTTCTTATATTTCATTTCATTACTCAATTCTGACTGAAATGCATACACAATATTATTGCATTGTGTAAAGAACTGTGCATGGAATTTATTAGTGACAAACTATTAATAGTTGCTTAATCGTAATGAGCATTTTTTGTAACATATCCTACAGAATCAGGTTCTAAACCCTGAGTGGACTTGAATTCTGTAGTCAATAAATATTAGTAAAGTTATAAAAGATACTGTAGTCAACTGCAAGCTTAAAAAAATTCGAATCTTTATCAAAAGGTTATGTGTCAACTGCAAAACAAAACGAGTAATCGCCGAAACAAGTGTTTTATAATCAGTGAGTTTTTTTTATTGTGTTAAATTTTTATTTATAAGTACATAAATAGTCTCCGTACCTATTGGTATATAAGTCGAGTGTTTCGTAGCTTTATATTGCATAAACATTCAATAACCGGCAGGGAACCGAAATGGTTAGAATTACGTCGTATGTTTTCGTTGATATTGAGACGACGGGTCTCCCGCACGAAGAGTTAAATAAGACCAAAATAACGGAAATCAGTATGGTTGCAGTGCAAAGGGATCACATTTTAAATACGAACAAGGGTTCTCTACCGCGAGTGCAAAATAAGCTCACGCTGTGTCTGAATCCACGTAGAATGGTAAGCCCCGCCTCTGGAGAGATTACAAAGCTGTCTAATGAATTACTAGAATATCAGCCGTCATTTGATTTAGAAGTACACGCTATATTAAACAAATTTCTTAACATATTGCCTAAACCAGTATGTTTAATAGCATACAATGGTCACAATTTCGACTTCCCAATCATAAAAAATCAGTTGGAAAGACTAGGTATGAAGTTTTCAGATGATTTGTATTGTGCAGATTGTTATCATGGTTTCTATGATATAGAGAATCCTCCACGGATCGAGAATCAACCATCAAAAGGTGATACCATAGACAATGGACTTACAGAGAAAAATTTGCAGAAAGTTAGGCTGGTAGATGAGGAAATTAAAGAAAAAAAAATTAAAAACCATGTACAGACGTCATCTGATCCAAAATGTAGATCTAATGTAATAAATGGAGAAGCAATGAGTAGTAATACAAGCAAGGGATTTAGTAATATTTACACAAGTGATATAGATGTTGAAGAATTTATGGCATCTATTGACGAGACAGATTTTATTAATGGAAGTATGAATATGAAACTTCTCAATGAAAGCACTCCAAAACAACAAATAAAGCCAGCAACCGGACAGAAAAGAGTTATGAAGGCTCGCAGACGACTTCCGTGGACTGAAAAGAAGCCAAAGTTTTCTTATAAATTAGGAGATCTTCATGAAAGAGTATTTAAAGAGACTGCAATAGATTTACACTGTGCTGAGAGTGACTGTCTAACAGCACTCAAAATTGCAGTTGCAATATCTAATAAATTTGTACAATGGACAGAAAAGAACTGTGTATTATTTTCTGAAGTGAACACAATGACTCCTGGGGTGCGCATTGGTGATTAGCATCAATTTGACCTTACTTAAACATTGTGTATAGTACTTCAATGTGTAAGTATCTTGTCTAAAATAATTGCTTTTATAATGTGAACATTTTATGTTTGAATATATTGTATTACTTATAATGCACTATATTAGGTTCACATTAACTTGAATGCATGATTTCTCTAACTTTGATTGTACATTCTTGAAATGGTCACCATAACTGGAATGGTTAGGATATACCTTTTTTTTTCTGATGGGTGAAAATGGTATGGTAACCCCGCCTGTGTTAACGGGATACGCTGGCGGAGCACCAGTGAAGGGTGATAGATGAGAATGAAAACAGGCCAGTTAGCCCATCGTGATGAATTCATCAGGAATTAACCATGATATTTTCCAGGGGAAACCGCGAGGAGGTCGACGTGGTTGGGTATATTGCAATAGCAAGCAATGGGATTCTCAGTCTCCATTACTAACAATCGCTTTCCCCCCGGTTAGGATATACTGTACACCATTGAAATTATGTAAACTCTATGGAAGAGAAAGAAAGTACACATTAAATCTGCTATACTCCCCATAGATTATTAGATTGTTTTAAATATCTAATATATAAGAATATAGCTTACCTACTTACAATTGTTTTTTTTCTCTTGTAATATTTAATTAATAAGTGATATTTATAATAGAACAAACAACTGTAATATTTGAATTTCTTTCAATATATTTAATACTGATTTATGTGTACTTTTGTAGCAAATTTTTGTAATAACTTTTTTTTTTTTCTAAATTATACCAAAGACTAAGACTGATTGTCTTTTATAAAAAATAAATTATAAATTTACTTAAATTACTTGACTTTAAATGATTTACTTTTTAACTGACTATTGAATAGGTGCTAAATAATTATATAGGATAATTTTATTATTTACCATAGCACAGCATGATATTGTATGAGTCTACTGTCATGATATACTATGAGATATAACAGGAAAGCAAAATGTATGTAATTGTATGACCAGAGGGTGATTTTGTACAAAAGTCGTTTGCTTGTGTTCCATTGCCTCTGTCCCATTAGTGTTTCTACTGTGAAACAGTTGTGTTTGCATGGCTGTGTTTCGGTTTGAAGGGTGGGATATGGCTGTGAATTTACTGGGTACAGAGGAATAACACCTGAGTCCTCAGGAATGGCAACGCATGGGGGGTATCATGGGCAAAACGGTACACTCTGTTATGTCCATATATTATATATAAATATAAATACATCCAAATTGAAAAACTTCTTCATTTTGAAGTTGAGTGATTACATATGTATACAGCTATATTTTTCCATATGCATGTTTTTCAGCTATTTTTAGTATATATATATTTTATATTCAACTTAGAATGGCAAACAAGCTGACGACCCACCTGATGGAAAGTGGTAACCGTCGCCTATAGACATGAGCAGTACCATGGACATAACAGTACACACACACTATACACTAAAAATAGCCAAATTTTATACATATAATATAAATTCTAGTGAGAACAATTTAATTATTAAAATCCATTCATTGTTTTTAATATGGTATATTCTAATGATATTGTGCCCTGCTATGGTAAATTATAAAAATGCCTAATGTGTACTATAAATACTTTTCTGATTACTGTTGCATTCTGATTATAGTTACATTTCATTACAATTATTAAATAATTGTTTTTTGATTATGTATGTAAAATTAGCTTTTATACTTTCTTGTTGCATGATTTATGGTTTATTAGAGATGGGATTTAATGCCATTGTTTAATTATGATAATTTAGCTGAGTTATCTGATCGTTTCAACCAGTGGGCGTACCATGAAATAATTTCAGAAATTTTGAGGCCTAACAAAACAAATTTGATGTTAAAACTTCATAATATATACAATTTAAAATGGTTAAAATATCGTTAATTTAGACTATTATAGTAGGATTTGTGATGAAGGAAATATTAAGCTCTATTTACTGAGTCAATTACGGTACGAACAAAACACGAAGTTGATCTCAAATGTTTGGGATTTTATTTCATGATAGTTCCCCATGTTACCTGCACGACACATCGTGATAAGTTATTTAGCATAGTATATGTAAATAATTGCATTAATTCTAATTATGAAATGAAATGAAATGAATTTATTTTGCTAGAATGCAGGTAATTTTAGATGATAGAGGTAATAGAGTAATTTTAGATGATTAATTCTATGTAAACCATGAACATGTATAAAAAAACATTTATTCCATATTTTAATTATACATGTTTTATTTTTATACTTATATACTTAGTTTTTAAAACTTATCTCAACTTTGTTAGTAGTTTTTAATTTCGAATATAATGTTTATTTACCACTTTTTTTTTAATAAATATTCTTTATTGGAAAATATATAAGGTTTTTATTTTACCATTCTTATGCACTGTAGTATGTTGTATCCTGCATTTTTAACAAATACCCTGATTAGAACTAGAGAAATTTATGTTCATCAGTGGGCAAATGATAATTGAAAGCATGATTTTCTTTCGACTGATAAAAATAGAATGATAGTCATTTACCAGAGGGAGATTTTGTACAAAAGTCGATTGCTTGGATACCTCTGTCCCATTCGTTTTTCAACCGTGAAGCAGTTGTGCTTGTATGGCTGTGTTTCGGTTTGAAGGGTGGGATATGGCGTTAATTTACAGGGTACAGAGGAATAACACCTGAGTCCTTAGGAATGGCAACGCATGGGGGGTATCACGGGTGAAACAGTATGTGTGTGTACTGTTATGTCCATGGTACTGCTCATATCTACAGGCGACGGTTACCACTTTCAATCAGGTGGACCTTCAGCTCGTTTGCCATTCTAAGTTGCATAAAAAAAAAATGCCTGCGCTATTAGTAAACCATATAAATAATAATTTCTACAGTATTAGTACTGTAGAAATACTAGTAAATGATGGGTAGGTGAGTAGGGGATGATGAAATTAATCATGCGTTATGAATCGCTCACAATGGTTTCCAGGAATGACCGCGTAGTGGTCTACCTAATTCAGTATGTGTAGCTAGCAGTTGGCCGTCGATTCACGTTACTGATCCCCCCCCCCTTCTACCCTTCCATTAATTGCACTCTAAAAGGATCAATATATGAATATATTATGATGATTATTTTTTCCTCCCAATCGGAGTCTTTGTCAAAAAAATAGTTACTTCTTTTTATACCACTAAGATGGCCAACAAGCACACGGCCCACCTGATAGTAAGCAGTTACCGTAACCTATGAACCATTACGTGCGCGATGCCAACCCAGAAGAAACCTCTTTACCCTTTTGAAGAACCTCATTCCGTAGTCTTTTGGAAAAGCTTCTACTGCTAGTTCCATAACTTGAGCGTTTGTGGGAGAAAACATCTCTGAAACTACGTTGTACGCGACCAACTAAGCTATAAGATATGGGGGTGAACACCATATAAATGGCACGATGGTAGAAAGTGGCCGTCGGCATCACATTTGGGCTATTCCTCTGGGTACAGTTCATTGTACAAGTTGGCGAGTTGGCAACTGCAGTTGGGTTTTTGGTGATGTTTTAAGAGCGAGGGACCCATCTCTCGACCATTAAGTTCCTTACGACATCTACAGAAAAGGAAGGGGTGGCCCATTCTATAACGAGACATGGCATGGTAATAATTAAGTATAACTACTTAATTATAAATAACTTGTGTGAACTTTTAAATGCTATAATTAATATATAACAAAAGAGTGACATCGTATTTTTCACTCTTTAAACTTTGGTAAAGACCGAATTCGTCTTTTTTTTTTTTATACAACTTAAAATGGCAAACAAGCTGACGGCCCACCTGATGGAAAGTGGTAACCGTCGTCTATAGACATGAGCAGTACCATGGACATAACAGAGTATACTGTTTCGCCCATGTTACCCCCCATGCGTTGCCATTCCTGAGGATTCAGGTGTTATTCCTCTGTACCCAGTAAATTCACGCCATATCCCACCCTTCAAACCGAAACACAGCCATGCAAACACAACTGCTTCACGGTTGAAACACGAATGGGACAGAGGAATCGTCTACAGGAATTACTTAAAATACAGTTAAAGATGATCACGTTTTATTAATTCACTGTTTTACGCATTTATACTAAACATTTATGGATAGGCCAGAGATAAAGAATAACCTGAATTACGTATCGTCATAAATTTAATTGATGTCCAATAAAAAAATCATAATTGGGTCATAAAGACACATAATAACAAAAAAGAGCCGTTGAAATAAGAAAAAGACAAGCTTCCTCCACCTCCTTTTTGAAGTCGTTTAAAAATAACGGTTCCCCCTGGAAACCATCGTGATTGATTTATTATTAGATTCGTCACGGTGGACTAACTGACCTAGTGCATCCTCACCTATCATCCCTCACTGATGCCCCGCCAGTGTATACCGATAGCGCAGGCGGGGCTACCATTCCATTATCATCCATTAAAAAAACAGTATGCGTCATATTGATAACGTTATCTTGTTACAGACAGCCGCGCCGCACGACAAATGTCCTTTATATGGAAACTGGATTAAGTTACTCAGCAGTTTACAAAAATCGCTAAACAGAAGCACCAGTCACCGTCATGCTACAAGCTATTGGTAAGGATTAATAATTTTTTTCTATTTTACAATGGTTTGGGTGGTCACATACGTTTTTGTCGACATCGAACCAACTGGTTTGCCGCCAGAAGAATTGAATAGAACGAAAATAACAGAGATCAGCTTTATAGCAGTGAGTAGGGACAATCTGATGGACACTCAGCCCGGTAAATGTCCTAAAATACTCAACAAACTGAACCTGTGCCTCTATCCACGCAAAATGATATATCCCGCCTGCACTAAAATCACGGGATTGTCCAACGAGATTCTAGAACACCAGCCGCCATTTAATTTGGAGGTGTATGAATTGATCGAGTCGTTTCTAAATATATTACCGAAGCCAATTTGCTTGATTGCACAAAACGGGATGCATTTCGATTTCCCTATACTGAAATATCAGTTACAGAAACTAAATGTGAGTTTGCCAAAAGATTTATTGTGCGCCGATTGTCTCCATGCCTTTTATGACATTGAGGTCATTAACCGAGAGTTTGTAAAGAAATCGATAGATCCAGATGTTGATTTTCATAAAAGCGATCGTATTGATAATAAAACATTTAAAAATATTAATGAAACTACACCTGAACAAGTTAAAGATAGATATTTAGACCTGTCTAAAGAAGAAAGACTGAGTAAAGCACGAAGACATATGCCTTGGGACGGTTATAACAAACCAGAGCTTTCTTATAAATTGGGACGTATTTATGAGAGGATTTTCAATGAGAAGCCAGTCAACCTTCACAGGGCTGAAAGTGATTGTATCGTGGCCCTCAAGATCGCAGTGGTTAAGTCTAGAAGATTTGTCCAATGGGTCGATGTGAACTATTGTTATTTCTCTGAAGTAAAAGCAATGACTATAGGAGTGCCTTTAGGCTATTAAGCTCGCATATGTTGTATCGATGTAAGCAGAGATAAATGAAAAGCTTTTTACTGTAGATTTAAGCTAAAAGAACAAAGATCAAGGAAAAGTGATAGATAGAACAAAAATTAACGAGTAAAATGGTTTCAGAATGCATTTAACCAGCATATTATTTTTGGATGCTTTTACAACGTTTATACTATTCGAGTTATGTAGAAGAATGAGCACTCGCTTGCTTGGTTTGAATATATCTTTACGTTTATCTCTATCAATCAATCAATCAATCAATCATCTTTATTCATATACATCTGTTACAGATACTTATGATACGTCAATCTATAATTATAATAATTACTATAGAAAATAATATTGACTTAAGTGAAAATACAATAATTACATTTACAATACAATTCACATTAATACAAAATTCAAATCCATGCAGTTTTGTCATTTAAATAGTCATTTAATTTATAATATGCTTTTGTACAGAGAGTCCTTTTTATATACATATGTCTTAAATTTTCTTTCATTTAAATGTAAAACGTCATCTGGAAGTTTATTATAAAAACGTATACAGTTCCCCATGAAGGATGTACTGACTTTTCTAAGGCGATAACAAGGAACATTCAATTTGTTTTTATTTCTTGTATTGAAATTATGTATGTCACTGTTATTTTTAAAAAAGATTTATATTTTTACGTACATACATAATGTTTTCGTATATATATTGCGAGGGAACAGTAAGTATACCTGTTTGCTTAAAATATAAGCTTGTCTTTTTACACTCTAAATTAATTAATGTTTCTTATATTAATATCATTATTATTATTATTTTTACCTGTTATAAAACGTGTCGCTAACTTAATACTTATATGTTACATTATATTTAGGTGTATATTATACATTTGTTTCTATTTATATAATTTAACACTATGTTCCTTTGTTAGCTTTTTTCTACATCTATCTATCTTCACGCTAAATCTCTTGCGGGGTAGACGGTACATAATTGAAGATACATACATACATATCTGTCACGCCTGTCTCCCATTAGAGTAGGCAGAAACAATGGAACGTCAAACGCTTCGATTCAAACAAACCTCTTTCGCTTCTTCCACACTCATCAATCTTTTCATACACGCTCGCCGGTTACGGGTACTTTTAATTAGACCCTGATTAATAATATATTAATTGGATATAATAAAGGAAATATTGTTGCAACCAACATTCTCCCACCTTGTCTTACCTTAGCCACAGTGACAAGCTCTGTTGTTATCACCAATCCGTCTCTTTATAGAACGTCATTCATTCGCATAACTTCTCTCTTTCTTGCTTCCCGAACACATGAATAAGGATATGACCCATTCTCTTGAATCACTCTAACTATTAAAAAAACTACATCAAAATCTGTTGAGTAGTTTCATAGATCTAAGCATATATAGGGCCGTACAGACGGTAAGCGACTTTATTCCATACTATGTACCTATGATATAAAAATATATAATTTAGCACTAGTCAAAATTTTGAATATTTATAACTATGAAAATTATTTAAAAATTAAAAATAACTATAAGAAAATAACTAAAGACTTGATAAATAACTTTAGGGATTATACTATAGGAATTTGTTATTGTAAAAGGTGGTGACAGTGAAAAATATGTATAAATGCAATATTTATAACAGAATAATATGTTGTTATAATGTATACAAGTACAGTGTATGTACTTAAAAGAGTTTATATAAATATATTAAATATAGAAATCGAGAACTAAATGCCAAAGTAAGAGTATACCATAAGAAATATATAAAATTAAGTGCCTATTGTCAAAATGGTCACTAGATATACTGTGGGTTTTGACATATATATACATATATATATATACACACATATATTCTTTATTGCACTACTATACAGTAACAACAATAAGTTAATAACAATGTTAGCAAACTTATCTCTAAAAGAGATCTCTTCCAGTCAACCTAACACAGTGGCATAGGAAGTAGTGAGTGGGCAGTAGTAGTGCTAAACAGAAGTTAAAATAAATATTTACATAAATTATAAATCATAAATTATATATATATATATATTTTGTTGACATTTGTTTGTATGTCATTTGCTTAGCTTTCTGAAGCTATTACTTAAGGATATAAAAATATTGTGCTTTCATAAATCGTTTGGCCGACAGCACACTTGCAATGCCGCTGGTGTTATGGGTGATCATGGGCGGCGGTAGTCACTTACCATCAGGTGAGCCGCATGCTCGTTTGCCCCCTGTGTTATTAAAAAAAGATCCTATTGTATGCATAATAAACTTGTACCTATAATTAAATAATAATAAAAGTCACAATTTTATTTAAGCGATTAAAAAAAAATATGTTTTTATAATAATTTCTTAACCTGTACTCGTTACTAACACATTTATAATTTGATTTTTATATAAAAAGAAATTAATGGAATTGATTTTAAAAAAAGTCGTTTTATGTATTTTAAAAAAATTACTGAATTTTGGCTGTAATTTTATCGTGTCTCAAAAATGTGGTGCTAGTCAAAAATAGCTATCAATAATTGTGATTTATTACGTATTTGTTATTCAAAATAGAATAATTTATTAACTTAAATAAAGTATACTTTAACTCCCTACAACGCTTCATTCCTCTTTCAAACATAATTACATCCTAACACACACTTTTGATTGAAATAAAAAAAAAAACTATTTTCAAGAAATAATGTACATGGCAAAACGTTTGCGGGGTCAGCTAGTATATTATATAATATAAAATTAATAATAATATATACCTATACTATGTATTAGGTATTATTGCAAAAAAAAAATAAAGAAATCAAAATTTTAATAAGTTAATTATAAACACAGATTATATTTTTTAGTAATAACTCTACCAATATTTACCATATATGCCACCCACGGTTCGATTTTATACCCATATTTTTATATTTCAATGTTTCATAATGGTATTTATATTAAACTGGTAATAAATTAACTATGTTCCCACATAATATAGTTTATATATATATAATTGTATTTTTTTTTTAATAAAGTATTAATTCTCAAATAGACTTTTCTTCAAGTGTGAGTCCTCAGAAATGGAAACACATGAGGGGTATTATGGGTGAAACAGTATACTCTGTTATGTCCATGGTACTGCTCATGTCTATAGGCGACGGTTACCACTTTCCATCATCAGATAGGCTGTCAGCATGATTGCCATTCTAAGTTGCATAAAAAAAAACTAAAAAGTAATCTCCATGAAAAATTCCTAGGTACCTACCTAATCTTTTAATTAAAAATACAGGAATTACCTTTGGCAGTTGTAGTTTTTTTTTTAATTAATGATAATGGAATGGTAACGCCGCCTGCGCTGTCGGTATACGCTGGCGGGGCACCAGTAAGGGATGGATGATAGGTGAGGATGAAAGCAGGTCCGTTGGCCCATCATGACAAATTCCACTAGAATTAATCACGATAGTTTCCAGGGGGAACCGCGTGGAGGTCGACCTGATTATTTATTGATTTATCTATAGTAAAAAGTTTACAAATATATCAATGGATAAAGGTTTTGTAAACTTTTTACTTTATCTATGCCTTCCTCTCCAAAAAGTCCTTTGTTACAGCCTTACTAGTGCTGACTGGTGCATTATGGGGATGCACCAATCCCTTCATTCGACAAGGCACGAAAGGCCTCCGAGATGTGAAGGCGAAAAGCAAGTTGGGACAAGCTTACGCTGAGGTCGCCCATCTGCTCAGAAATTGGCGAGTATGTACCGAAAGTAAAATGAAAGCAAGAGAGGGAAATGTTACAATAGATCTTAGTGGACGATTTTTTTATACCACGGAGGTGGTAAACACGCATACAGGCTGTCTGATGGTACCCCCCTCCCGCTTCTTACGTATATCTATGAGAATGGTACTTCAGGATCGATTCTAATGTATCATCGCTCCAACTTGACACTGAACAATAATCGTACAACCCGCCATAAACTAAAATTTCATCCCAACCATCTGGACGAGTGGCGATCCTCCGCCGTGCGTTTTTCAAGGCGCTTTCTCCCACGCACAACCACTCTTTGGAATCAACTTCCAGCAGCAGTTATGGGTGAAAATGGTGTGGTAACCCCGCCTGCGCTAACGGGATACGCTGGCGGAGCACCAGTGAAGGGTGATAGATGAGAATGAAAACAGGCCAGTTAGCCCATCATGATGAATTCATCAGGGATTAACCATGATAGTTTTCAGGGGGAACCGCGAGGAGGTCGACCTAATAAGGCATATTGCTAGCAATGGGGCTGTCAAACTCCATTACTAACAATCCCTTTCCCCCCCAAGGTTGGGTATATTGCTAGCAATAGAATTCGCAGTCTTCATTACTAACAATCCCTTTCCCCCCTAATAATGGGATTAGAACCGGTTATGCGGGACTACCGGTTAAAAATCACTGCCATAAATGTATGTAGATGTAATTGTTTCTCGGTGTAGTACATAGTGGCGTGGATAGTGAACCAAAGCGGGTCGCTGGCGTACGTGGCGGCGGTGCGGCGCGCGCCGCTTTCGCTGGCGGTGCCGGCCGCCAACGGGCTGGCCTTCGCCTTCACGGCGGTGGTCGGCGCCGCCGCCGGTGCTGAGCAGCCGCTCGACAGAGGTACCTTCATAATACTCGAATCCTTATATCCTCGTTGCGCAACGAAACTTTATCATTTACAAAAAAAAAAAAACAGATTCTGAAAATAATCGCGTTTGAATATTTTTTACGTAAAAATCGATATAGCTTCTAAATGCTATCAAATACATTTGTAGGAAGAAAACATAGGTTAATAGGTTTAATAAACTACGTGTAACCTCTGTCCCATTCGTGTTTCAACCATGAAGCATTTGTGTCTGCATGGCTGTGTTTCGGTTTGAAGGGTGGGATATGGCAGTGAATTTACTGGGTACAGAGGAATAACACCTGAGTCCTAAGGAATGGCAACGCATGGGGGTATCATGGGCGAAACTCTGTTATGTCTATAGTACTGCTCATGTCTATAGGCGACGGTTACCACATTCTATCAGGTGGGCCGTCAGCTTGTTTACCATTCTAAGTTGTATAAAGTTCTAGTTGTTACTAGACCAATTCATATATTTGTATTATAGGAAACTCAAATCTGCCACCATTGAACAGTAAAGCAGTACGTTAGGTTGCTGGACCACAAAGTTCATCAAATTTTTTTGTAACGTAATTTTTTTTTAATCGATTTCAGGTTCAATTCTGGGTGTCGCTCTCATCGTTGCCGGCACTGCGTTATGCTGTTTAGACAAGGCTGGTTAGGGTGACTTGTCTTATTTTGATATGTTTTTGGATTTTGTATCCATAAATCAATGTAAGGAATGTTCCAAATTTACGGCAGCTCAATTTCTGTAAATTAGTAACTCCATCTAGTGATAAATAGTCGAACTAATGTATAAATATTCTACACTAGATGTCGCTATATCGAATTAATCGTATACACTTTTTAAGTGCTATTTTATATTTATATAAAGTAAAATAATAAGAATGTTACCGTAAACGAGTTTTCATGTTATTTTATAATATGTGAAAAAGTTGAAATATTTATTAATTAATGACATATTTAATAATTTGCTTGGCTATCATTCCAAATGTTATTAAAAACACAATAATGAGACCGAATGTGTGGCACCATTATCTACATTTATACTTTAAATTGATAATTTGGCGAGAATATTATTTTATGGACCTTCTAAAACAAAATTTTACTAATTATAGTGCATATATTCCTTAGATTAAACATTTCGGAGCGATACCAAATTGAACATTTAATTTAAGATGTAGAGAACGGTGCTACAGAATCGGCTTCTATTTTTTTATATTGTAAATAAATAAAAGGCATGTATTTATACCAAGTTTTATTATTTATTCATACCCTAATATCTACAGTCGACATATCGAGCGTACGCCTCGAATCCCAATATTGCACAAACAAAATTCTCTTTATAAATATAATTATGAAAATAGGCACTGAAAAATACAAGCATTTATACAAGAAAATAGAAAATTTTAAAGTGATTTACTGGTAGAAGATATAAGTGGCATTTTTATTGCATCCTTTTTGAAGTTTTTGAGCATATTCTACAAAAACGAGATGCTCGATTCGTTTGTATTACTTTTCTGTGTTATTTTTCCAACTCTAAATCGTTTTCAATAGTTGTTTAACCAATCGACAGGTCTTACTTTCGTTTTGGCGCCAAAATCCTTTTTAAACAATTAAAGATGCGAATCTTTTTTTTTATACAACTTAGAATGGCAAACAAGCCGACGGCCCACCTGATGGAAAGTGGTAACCGTCGCCTACAGACATGAGCAGTACCATGGACATAACAGAGTATACTGTTTCGCCCATGATACCCCCCATGCGTTGCCATTCTACGAAGTACTGTTAAGTGTTATGTTGTGTATTTGGTGTTAAATCCATGAAAGTTTTTCATTTATCAAAAAACACCTCCATATCTTATGTCCTCTTGAAAAAATACCAACATTTTACATAATAATTTATTACAATAAGAGAATTGTTACTATTCTAATTTAGAAGCTAATTTTAAATGCCTCTTTGACGCATTAATTGCAATAAACCTATAAGTATATTGAACGCAACGGACAGGCGGACGCGAGATCGAAAATATTTAATAAAAAAACAAACGGGCGGACGCGAGAATAAAAATATGGACTAAAAAAAAAACAAATTATGATGTTGACAAAACCGCATGTAAAGTTTTATTTTTTAATGGGTGATAATGGAATGGTAACCCCGTCTGCGCTATCGGTATACAATGGCGGGGCACCAGTGAGAGATGACTGATGAGAATGAAAGCAGGTCAGTTTTTTTTAATGGATGATAATGGAATGGTAACCCCACCCGCATCCCCCCCCCCCCATGTATACACATAAATTATTATTATAACTTACGAATGTTTAATACATTCGGATTTAAAGTTCATGAATAGAATTCACACGCGGCTACCTGTCCACTTTGCTCTTTACTTAACATCAATATTGTTAAATATATACAATAATATAATTAAAAATAATTAGGTGACCGTTTTAAAAAATAAATTTTGAGTATACAGTTTAATTTGAGTACTAAAAGTATAATATTTATTAGACGACGTACTCCAAAATGATACCACCTTTATAGTTCCACTAGTGTTTTTTATATTTATTTACATAACAAAATTATATTTATAAAAACATTACACGAAGAGATACAAGAATGGTATGCAAAAATTCAAATCATTCTTTTTCTTTTTTTTTAAATATACTATATGGCTTCTTTCCAGCCATGACCAATTATTTTTTTTTAAGTATGTTTAGTAGATAGAATAATGAAATTTCGATTTAAACCCAAGAACTTAAGGTGCATTATTCTATGTGCTGTTACATCGAAACATTAAGGAGTTCATCAAATGATCCCTTTACCTACTTATTGAAGGATTTAAAAATGTACACAAGTAAATATAACTAGGTCTGGTTTTAGATAAATATTAATACTACCTTATCTAATTAATAGTTAAAAAGTTAAAAAATTATATTACATATGTAATTTTTTTACAATAATAAATTAATTATTATTATTTAATATTAATAAAATGACTTATATACATGATCTAATCTAAATATGTTTCCATCATCTGTCAGCTCTACCAATATTGGACACGGTAGGTACGTTATCGCTATCGCACACCTACGATAGAACGAAACATCAATGTGCAGTGGTATTCATGTGACATTATTATTTTTATTAACAATAATATCACCTGTGACAAAATCAAAAAAGTGATTTTCATCAGTTATTATTTGCGTTTGGATGTGAAATATTTCATAATAAAAGCAAGCGAATATACACTTTAACGCAGTGTAATAAAATCTTTATTCACTCACTCTACGAACTAGTCGGCTGTGTGATATGATTTCACTTCACTGCTAACCGAGCGCAGCCGACGACTCACGATTTAATCCGAATACAGCGACAATCTGCGACTTCATTTAGAGTAATTTTTAGCATTCTATATGAAGCGAAGTGTTTGGAATGATGTATGATTTGGCGTAGCATATGAAATTTCACTTGTGACATGAATATTTTCCAAGCTGACTGCGTTGAAGTCAGCCCCAATTGAACCCAATCGATTTCGAGTCTATATAAGGGAGATATTTAAGAAAATTTAATATAAGAGGGCTTTTTAACCCATCTTTGCAAAATGGTTCCACCATCCATCCATCATAACATTATATGCCCAAAAATTTAATAAAAGAACAAGTTCACTTTAACTTGATCGTGTCTGGATACTTTTTTAATGTCCATTGCATAAAAAAAACATATGTGTAATTTTTTTTTTAATTTTCCTTAAATTTTGAACATGAATTATATCACCTTCATTTATTTCACCGATAAAAAAAGTCATGCAAAGAAGGGTTAAGACCAATAAACAAAAACAATCATTTTTAGAAATTTTATCTGTCTGTCTGTATGTTTGTTTTGGTATCACACAAAAACTACTGCATCGATTCGGATGCAATTATCACAGTTGTATTTCTAAAGGTCTAACTTAAAATCTCGTATTTGTTTATCGTAAAAAGACATCTAGAAGTAGTCTGTTCCATTGGTTTTTCCACTTCGGAAATTCACGTATACAAAGCAGCGGGCTAAACGCTAGTTTTTTTTTGACGGGTGAAAATGGTATGGTAATCCCAAAGCCTGCGCTAACGGGATACGCTGGCGGAGCACCAGTGAGGGGTGATAGATGAGAATGAAAACAGGCCAGTTAGCCCATCATGATGAATTCATCAGGAATTAACCATGATAGTTTCCAGGGAGAACCGCGAGGAAGTCATGGATTGCTAGCAATGGGATACTCAGTCTACATTACTAACAATCCCTTTCCCCCCCGGCTAAACGCTAGTTAGCTATAAAAAACCTTATTTGAATGGAATCATGGACATGCTTTGGTTGGGTCTCAAATTTCAGACAGATTTTCATAGACAGGCAGATTTATACTTAAATATTATTATTATAAAATAGGGATGTGTATATATATATATATATATATATATATATATATATATATATATATATATATATATATATATATATATATATATATATATATATATATATATATATATATATATATATATATATTACGATATCTATATACCGGCACGAAAACGAATATTTTAAAAGTCTGTTATTCAAAAAATAATATAGGAAAACAGATTTTTAACATTTTTTTTTATACAACTTAGAATGGCAAACAAGCTGACGGCCCACCTGATGGAAAGTGGTAACCGTCGCCTATAGACATGAGCAATACCATGGACATAACAGAGTATACTGTTTCGCCCATGATATCCCCCATGCGTTGCCATTCCTAAGGACTCAGGTCGGATATCTATTCGAAAATAGATAGCCGACCGATATATGGGCGATATCGAAATAGGTGATGACCATCCGCCATCAATATCCAGAGAAACCCAATATATATAGATATCGAATCGGTATCCATATTACTCATGATTAAAGGGAATCAACAGTTCCTTATCATCTCGACGGCAGCGGTCAGCCGCTGTATCGAGAGCCTCAGGTTATTCTCTTCCACAGCCAAATTCTGACGTTCAGCGAGCAACGCGCGCGCCCTCTCGGAGTCCCTTGATGCGGACCTCGTTATGTGCGCGCTTTCCACTCGCAGTGACGTATTGCGTTTGTGCAGTTCGGCTATCTCTTTTCTTCTCGCTGGAAATTAAACATATAGTTAATAGTGAGGAAGGATTCTACTAATGTATTTTTTCCAATTATGGATAGATATACCATCTCTCGAATTTTTTACTATAATACCTACATTATAGTCACGTGTGATCCCGGCATATTCCTTTTCCGTGGGTACCGTAAATGGTGACTAAGGGAGACCGAGGGATGGGCAGTAGCTTAAAACATCTCCTAAGCCAAACTGCGGTTGCCAATCTTCCTGCCAAGCGTAGCAACTACTGGCAATACCACTTTTTAATTATTTTTCTTTATACAACTTAGAATGGAAAACAAGCTGACGGTCCATCTAATGGAAAGTGGTAACCGTCGCATATAAACGTGAGCAGTACCATGGACATAACAGAGTATATTGTTTCGCCCATGATGGGGGGTCCCATGCGTTGCCATTCCTGAGAACTCGGGTGTTATTCCTCTGTACCCAGTAAATTCACGCCATATCCCACCCTTCAAACCGAAACACAACCATGCAAACACAACTGCTTCACGGTTGAAACACGAATTGGACAGAGGTGCCCAAGCAATCAACTTTTGTACAAAGTCTCCCTCTGGTAAATCACCCAAGGCGGTTGTTGTTTAGCAGTGGACATTTAAAGGCTGATATGTAGATGATGATAAAAATACACACAAGTCTCAATACATTATATCTAACCATTCATATATCTACTGGATATACTGGAGTTTCTTTGCGTAATAGATTCCAAAACGGGGATATTGGCGAAAAAACCAAAGCAACCGATATAGCCCGAAAAGTAAGCAAGCTGAATCGGCAATGGGCTGGCCACGTCGTTGTAGGAAGTCAGCGCATGCAGGTGGTTCCTTATGGCAGTCTATGGGGGAGACTTATGTTCAATAGTGGACAAATAATGATTTAGATGATGTTGATGGTCCACATATGTGAACATTCGTGCTATCACGCAAATGGTACCCTAAAACACTTGGTTTGGGCCCATGTTCGAAACTACCTCTTGAATAAAAATCAATAATAACATTATAATCATTTTTTTAACCCCTGTGTAGTGTATTTCGTAAAATAAAGTTTCTTTCTTTCTTCTTTCTAATCTTTTATTAACGAATATAGATTTTTGGAGGGGAAAAAGGATTGTTAGTAATTAGGTCTAATAGCCCCTTTGCTAGCAATATACCCTCTCAGGTCGACCTCCACGCGGTTCCTCCTGGAAACCACCATAGTTAATTTTTGTTAAATTCATCACGGTGGGCCAACTGACCTGTATTTATTCTCATCTATCATCTTCCACTGGTGCTCCGTCGTTGTATACCGATAGCGCGGACGGGGTTACCATTTCATTTTCACCCATTAAAAAAATATAGATTTTTGCCTTGGCTTTCAAATTGGGGTAACTTAAACCTTGAGGGGGGGAGGGAGGTTGTTAGTAATGCGGACTAATGAAGCTGCCATTGCTATCAATACACCTTGTCAACCTCTACATAGACTCCTCTAAAAACTATCGTGACCTGTCTTCTTATTTTCACCTTACTGGTTTCCAACCAGCTTATACCGTTAACGCAGGCAGGGTTACCATTCAGGGCCATAGCTAGACCCAAGTTTAAGGTTGGGCAAAAGCTATAATTAAGTGACTTCGAAAAAGTGAATCTATCTAATTTTCTTAGGGTCTTTAATTTTAAGGTAGGACATGGACGTCTCAATGTCCCTCCCCCATAGCTACGGCCATGCAAACATTCCATTATCATCCAATAAAAAACCTACTTAGCTATTTATTCAATGTCTTAATTTATATAAAAAAAAAATCCTTTAAGTACCTGCATCAAATTCTCTGTAGCTCTTCATGATGACATCTATACCAGGCCACGGGAATGCATCGTCGACTTGACAACTGAAGTTATGCGTTTTCTCAATATCGGTATCCACAAACATTTCTATGACGCCGGCTGCTGAACTTTCCGGTTCGTCCATCGACGTCGCCTGTGTCGACAGCGCAGTGCTCTGCTCCGGCGTCGACTTCAACGATATTATCTTGGATATGTTCGGTATATTTATTGCGGGATAATTCTGAAACGTCTGCTGTAAATTTACAATACGTTTTTGCATGTTCTCGCTGTCAAAACCGGGAGTTAAATCTCTCTTCCTTGTGTCTTGCCCGCTGAAAATTTTAACGCTTCTATCGGCCATTTTTGATAGACGATTGAGTTCTGAAAAGTTCTTCTCAGCTAGTACTCTTATACTTTCACCGTCTCCGTTACTCGAAAAGGAATCTAACCTCATCTTAATAAGGTTGTTATTTTCATTGACGCTATTCTTTATTTCGGTTAATAACTGCAGCTGACAATTGGGATCTAAATCCAATGGTTCTATTGATATTTTACATTCTTTTAGCATTCCTGCCTGTTGAACACCGTTTCTTCTATTTCTCTCTTTCAATATTTCTCGCCACGTTCTTTCGTATCCTGGAAACGAGAAATTAATGCATAAAAATCAACTGTATTTGGTATAAAATACTTTTTTTTATACAAATTAGAATGGCAAACAAGCTGACGGCCCACCTGATGGAAAGTACTAACCGTCGCCTATAGACGTGAGCAGTACCATGGACATAACAGAGTATATACTGTTTCGCCCATGATACCCCCCATGCGTTGGCATTCCTGAGAACTCAGGTGTTTTTCCTGTTAATACTGTTAGATGTTAGATCTAAATTTGTAATTTTTTGTTTATCAATTAAAAATTTTACAAAATTTCTAATCTAAACAATAATGTGGGATGGTGATAGGTTCGCCTTCATTATAATGACGAAATGTAGTAAGCGGAGTGTTGCACCCATTACAGCGGCAAGAATTGACATAATAACAAAGGACAAACCTTTTAACCTTATCTGAAACTACATTCGTAAAATTATTTGTAAAATTACATAGAAATAATTATGATTTCTTTTTTATACAACTTAGAATGGCAAATAAGCTGACGGCCCACCTAATGGAAAATGGTAACCGTCGCCTATAGACATGAGCAGTACCATGGACATAACGGAGTATACTGTTTCGTCCATGATACCCCCCATGTGTTGCCATTCCTGAGAACTTAGGTGTTATTCCTCTGTACCCAGTAAATTCACGCCATATCCCACCCTTCAAACCGAAACACAGCCATACAAACACAACTGCTTCACGGTAGAAACACGAATGGGACAGAGGTACTCAAGCAATTAACTTTTGTACAAAGTCTCCCTCTGGTTTTGTATTGTTATAAAATCGAATTTTACCTTCTTTGTACTGTGGTGACACTTGCACTAGCTTCAATTGGTTTAAGAACATTTGCTTTTTGTATGAAGTTATTGGACTCTCCTTTACTATGTTATTGTCTAAGCTTTGGGTATCAACGTCGATAGAGACATCAGTTGGTTTTTTGGAAACGTCTACCGGTAAATCTTCATTACATAGTCGATCTAGACGTCCCGCTGCTATGCACGCGGACGCTACAGCGTCCTTACTAATAGTTTTTTCTTGGAGTTCTAGTTTCTTGTCTGTAACATTTCAAATTATTTCATATCTAATAAGTTCAATTAGATTTGTCTAGATTTTTTTATATTTATTATATTCGAATATTTGTTATCGATATTTTAATAACAATAATTATTCCCCAAAACAGATTGAAATTCATTAATATTGTCATCAATATTAATGAATTTTATACTGAATACTGTACTCATGTACAGTATCTAATATACCAATTACATTAATTAGTCTATCAAATGTATCTACGTAACTAGGAATTAATATCGAACTTAGAATCTGATTGCCTAGTGGCATAGAATGAGACACCCCTTCCTTTCCTGTGGGTGTCGTAAGAGGCGACTAAAAGAGGGCGAGGGATGGGCAGCAGTGTTCCTCTTAAAACATCTCTAAAAACCTAACTGTGGTTACGAACCCCCCTGCCAAGCGTGGCCCCTACAGGCAAAACTCCCCTTATGAGGAAGGCTTACGTTTAGCAGTGGACAGCTAACGGCTGAAATAATAAATAGTATCTGAATAAATTCTTGTTACCTTTAAACATATCATGTGTAGTCAAACTGAAATTTGACAGAAATTCAATTTTCCCTGTTTGATCATCACTTTGTATACTGTAATCTTTAATTATTGAATTATATTCCTTAAGTTCATCTTCCCCAAAATCATTATCGGTATCACTACTATCATCATCGATAATAACTTTAGTTTTAGCGAACTCTTTGTAAATTTCAGCTTTCATTTTATCTGGTGTTATTATATTTTTTAAATTATCTACTTTGTCTTGAACCTTCTTTATATCAGGTTTTTGATATTTTGAATCCCGGTTAGATAAATATTTTAATCTTCTGATTCTCCTTCGTTTTTCATACATGTCCAAAGAACTAACTTCCTCAATTTTGGCAATTTTGTGCCTAATATTTGTAATAACAATTTTTGGTTGTAATTTAGAGTCCATTTGGTAAGGGCAGGCTATAAATAGTTTATCATTCTGTTTTGTTTGATCACATTGCTTGGGATATTCTTTATTATTATTTATAAACTTTGGATAGTCCCTATTAACAAATGATTGATTTAATTTACTATCAGCATCAACGATCATGGGCACTTGATAGACTATCTGTGGATTCATAATAACTTTCTGGTTTGTTTGAAAAACTATGTCAGTCTTGTTGTTTTTATTAGTCAGAGTCTGTAAAACATTATTGCTTGACTTCAAGACATGTATTTCTTTACTTGCCGAGATAGTTTGTGTTTTTATGTTTTTTGTTATTGAGTTTGCTTCAGAAGTATTAGTGGTTGTACTAATATCATGCAACGTCTTATTTTCATTAGATGTAATTTTATTAATTTTATTACAATCGTTACTTTGGTTTACTTTTGTATTATTTTTTATCATCATTAAATTAGCAGGGAATTGAACATTACTCAGGTATAAAAAATTTGGTTGTAAAACTACATTTTTAGTTTCAGTCTGTATTTTGTCAATTTTTATTTTATTCTTTAAATCTTGTTCTTGATGAGTACCTTGCGATTTCTCCTTCACGACTATCTTGTTGCCATATATTTGATTTTCAGTAATCAAATTTTCGAAGTCATTTTCGTCACAGTTTTCCTGGTGCAGCCGTTTTAAAGCCACCACTTTAGACGAAGATGAATTTTCGTTAACAATATCGTCTTTAGATTTTTTTGTTTGACTTGACAATCGTGAAGGAGCTTGCATGTTTTTTGAATCGAAATTTGTTCTTTGTAGCAAAACTTGAGGATTCGGTTGTTGTATTGTCAATAACATCTTTGGATTGGAGGCATTTTTATTTTGTATGAACAATATTTGGTTCTTTTGTTCAGTATAAGTTGCCTCTGGTGGTTTGTTTGAAAAATTAGATTTGCTAGTTTCAATATTTATAGGATTAAACATTGGTCTTGTAACAGCGGTAGAAACTTGAGGGGTAAACGAGGGAGAAGGGTCTTTAATTTCATTTACCTCTTTGGGTTCAGGTTTTCGAAACTGAGTTTCTGTTTTGTTGATAGCTTCCGCTGCATTAATTAATGTACTAATACTATTATTTGGTGCGCTCGTTATTGGTTTAATTTCCGGCTTATTTTCAATCTCTATTGTAGCAGATTTTATTACAATATTGCTTTGTATATCAACTCTCGAAGAATTGTCAAGTTTCTGACCTTGAAACGATGGAGTGTTGGTCTTTTTTGTTATCGAGTTCTGAAATACAGCATCTGGTGGATTATTAACACACTTCATGTCAATTTTACTAATCGGTATACTAGTTTTCAGACTGAATCTTTCTGTTGGTTTCTTTTTATTATCATTATTAATTACTGGTGCAACGTGGGGCACTTGTGTGGGTATTGTAACAGTTGCACCAGAACCTTGAGCAAGAGAGGTTATACTCATTTTACATTCCGCTGTTTGAGTTTTAATGTCAGTAATAGAAACTGCTGGTATTATTTCAGGAGTAAAATGATCTTCGAAATCTGTTTGGGACTTGTTAACCTCAGATTTAGGGATAACATTACATACATCTTCTGTCACTTGATTGTCATTTGTTTTCTCTTCACTCGGCGTTTCTTTTGTCGAAATTGTGGGAAATGTCACAAATTCCTTCTTAATATTTTCGGTTTGCGATAGTGGTGCTTGATTTGGCTGTACTATACCCGGATATGAAACTGGTTGGAAAGCTGAATAACCAGGGATTGAATATAGGTAATTATTATAGTTTGAATATCCCGGTTCCACTGGTTTGTTGGTCGTAACACTTGGACTTGGATTCGGTATAGATGAAGGAGATATTTTAGGTGAATGGGATATTGGTTTTGGTGAGACAAACGACGGTTTTTCAAGGAATATGTTGGGTTCTTCAATTGGTTTGAATGGCTCTGCAGATTTAGGTGGTGGATCTGGCGGAGGCAATGGAGGTCTCTCTCCTGGTTCCGTCTTTGGTGTGGTCAGGGATGCTGGTTTGCTCGGTCTAGCTGTAAATGTAAACAAAACAAAATTAAAAAATGTTAACAATGAATCTTTAAATAATTCTCCTATTTGTAGAGTACCTAAAGTTTTTATTATTAAATTACGATTTATATCAATTCCTAGTAGAGTTAAAATAGGCTGCAATGTTTTCGAACTTCTCAATATTTTGTTTTTAATTTTTAACCGAAAACAAAAAGTAATAAAAGGATTAGAAAGCTGAACATGCTGCCTTTCTACTATAATACAGTAACGTGTCACTAAAGTGCTTCTAAGCTATCAAGCTTTATTTTTCATGCGGTAACTTTTCACACAAAGTACTACTACAGTGATGCAATTTGCAACTTTTCTACTTGTAATATAAAAAATAATTACTGTGTCAAGTTTTTATACATTATTTTATGTTATGTGTTATTGTACTATATATTGTGGAAGGTTTAAATGTTTTGGTACAGTTTTTAATGTAGTAGTCTTGTAGGACGTAACAATGTAATATAATATGAAGTGTAAGAAAGTTTTCTTTAATTATCTAGTACACAGTTTCACGTCACCATTGGAAAACATTAGAACAAGGTTGGAAGTTTAGTAGTATAGTTTATTTTGATGGAAATTAATAAAATTGTAAACAACAATCCGGCGTGGATCCAGCCCGCAAAAAAGGTTGTGGTTACAGCCACCCGAAAATCGGCCAAGTTCAATGGAATATAAACTCGCTGATAATCGATATAGTGCAGTCCGCAAAGGAGATATTTACAAAACATACGACACTCTAAGATCTTTTTTTTTCTTTTCTTTTTTTTTTATGGTTTGTGGTACAGTATTTAAGACATTCCGTCCTCGCTATTGGATACGGGTGATAGAATGCCTATACAAGAGCATGGTGGGCGCAGTTTAGACACAATATTTGAGGAGCATTAGGAAGGTACTACGGCCGAATACTGCAACAAAAAGAGTGTGGTCGGCCCCCGAACTGGCGACCTCTGTAACTAAGATCTTGTACAGTGTACAGTTCCACGTGGACAAAGCCGTGGGGTGAACAGTAGCAAATTAGAGACGTACTCCAAAATGAAACCACTACTAGTGTTTTTATACTTTTTTACAGTTATTAAATTTATAGTTATTAAACATTACATTAAGAGATACAAGTATGATATAACAAATTGAAAAAATCTTCTTCTTTTTTTAAATATAGTATATGGCTTCCTTCCCGCCTTTACTATTAATAAACTTACTAGGTACAGATGAATAACACCTGAGTCCTCAGGAATGGCAACACCAGGGGGGTATCATGGGCGAAACAGTATACTCTGTTATGTCCATAGTACTGTTCATGTCTATAGGCAACGGTTACCACTTTCCATCAGGTGGGCCGTCAGCTTGTTTGCCATTCTAAGTTGTATAAAAAAACTTGTCAAAAAAACACTCTCTAAATTAAACTAGTCAAGAATCGTAACATTCAATCAGTAAAATTTTTCATTAAATATTAGAAATTTGTACTAAGATCGGATCATTGTCATGCGTGGATCCACCATTGTGGGTACGATGTCTATGCCCACGACCCTTATAGACTTGTGACGTCACACTTTCACAATTTTTTTTCCTTAATCACCTCTTACGACACCTACGGGAAAGGACAGGATGGGCCGTTCTATGCCGGGATCACACGTCACAGAATGTGCATCACGGCATCTAATGCATGCGGCAGCGATATCGTATCTATCGATTTATTAATGCCACTTGTCTATGGGCAATCCATATTTAAATTATAATGTAATTGAGTCATAGCTAAATACTTAATATTTAGTCTGTATTTTAAATGTAGGTTTACTAAACTATCAGATTTTTATATCCGCCTGATCAGAGTGGTAATAGTGCATATGCTTATTAAGTTTAGTATGGAGGGGGGGGGGGAGGAAGACAGCCCCATTGCTAGCAATATACCCTATTAGGTCGATCTCCACGTGGTTCCCCCTGGAAACCATCGTAAACAATTCTTGTTGAATTCGTCACGATGGGTTAACTGAGCTGCTTCATCCTCACCTATCATCCTTCACTGGTACCCCGCCAGTGTATACTGATAGCGCGGGGTTACCATTCCATTATCGTACATTAGAAAAAACCTTCGTATGGGCTAAGATATTTATTTTAACTTCTGTTTAGCACTACCACTGCCCACTCACTACTTCCTATGCCACTGCGTTAGGTTGACTGGAAGAAATCTCTTTTAGAGATAAGTTCGCCTTTGCTAACATTGTTATTAACTTATTGTTGTTACTGTATGTTTTAATGCAATAAAGAATATATATATGCTCTGTATTGGATATTGATACATTTATTTTATACGACTTAGAATGGCAAACAAGCTGACGGCCCACCTGATGGAAGGTGGTAACCGTCGCCTATAGATATGAACAGTACCATTGACATAACAGTACTCACACATACTGTTTCACCCATGATACCCCCCATGCGTTGCCATTCCTGAGGACTCAGGTATTATTACTCTGTACCCTGTAAATTCACACCATATCCCACCCTTCAAACCGAAACACAGCCATGCAAACACAACTGTTTCACGGTTGAAACATGAATGGGACAGAGGTACACAAGCAATCGACTTTTGTACAAAGTCTCCCTCTGGTAAAATAATAATCTGGTAATATAAGACCACCGATGCCTACTCTATTTAATGCAATTTTTTTTTTATTTTTAGTAAATTCACATCTCCCCTCTTAAGGAGAGGAGATGGCAACTAACCCCCGGCAGAAGCACAGTCGGCCGGGGTTCAGGGCCCCAGGGAGAGAAACCGGCGTACAATGCGGGCAGAATTTAAGAGTACTGCTTTCTGCATCTTTCCCGGGAGTGAGTGAGTTATTATTATTATTATTAGCATAGTAAAATTCTATGTACATTTGGCGGACTCAACACCGGACGGTGTTCACTACCAGTCAACCATCATATTTTTGAAACATCTGTGTTTCTTACCCGTTCAGAAGAAGCTGAGAACAGCTGAAATTGCATTCCTAACTGGGCGGTAGCTTCATAATGACCACTCAAAACTGCTTACTATTAAGTTTACTTAAATAAAAAATATTTTTATTTATTTATTATATTTATTCATAAAGTTTTATTTATTTTGTTACTGCTATTTGCAGTTTATTGTTGTGTTGCAGAGGGTGAACCGCGAGGAGGTCGACCTGACAGAGCTGTATTGCTAGCAATGAGGCTACTGATCCCCATTATTAACAACCCCTTCTCATTCAATTCATCATGATGGGCTAACTGGCCTGTTTTCATTCTCATCTATCACCCTTCACTGGTGCTCCGCCAGTGTGTCCCGTTAGCGCAGGCGGGGCTACCATACCATTATCACCCATCAAAAAAAAAATCAAGAGGTGTATTTTATATACATTCCTCTTGTCAAATAAAAATGTACGTATTTAGATATATAGGGAGACAGACGTGACAGATGTGTATATACATATTTATAGTTTCTTCTAAACAGTTACCTTTTTTTATGCAACCTTAGAATGGCAAACAAGCTGACGGCCCACCTGATGGAAAGTGGTAACCGTCGCCTATAGACATGAGCAGTACCATGGCCATAACAGAGTATACTTTTATGTCCATGGTACTTCCCAAACTACAGTAAGATTATGGCGACTTTAAAGTACATTAGTACATAGTTTTAATGAATACGATATTCATTTGAATTAGATTTTGTATTTGTTTAGACATCTTAATATTTATACAATTCATTAAAAAATCTTACCCTTTATGTGTCGTATTATACATACATACATATCATACATCGTCGTATCATACGAGAGGGAGACTTTGTACAAAAGTCATTTGCTTAGGCACCTCTGTTCCATTCGTGTTTCTACCGTGAAGCAGTTGTGTTTGCGTGGCTGTGTTTCAGTTTGAAGGGTGGGATATGGCGTGAATTTACTGGGTACAGAGGAATAACACACGAGTCCACAGGAATGACAATGAATGTATGTCCATTGTAACGCTTATGTCAATAGGCGACGGTTACCACTTTCCATCAGGTGGGCCGTCAACTTGTTTGCTATTCTAAGTTGCATAAAAAAATCTAGTTCCTTTGCCGTGTGATTCCGGCATAGAATAAGCTCATAAGAGGCGGCTAAGGAAACTAAATCGTCGAGGGAGCAGCGTCCCTCTTAAAACATCACCAAAGCCTAACTGCGGTTGCCAACCCGCAACCAAGTTTGTAACTATTGGCAAAACCATTCAATAGTGGGAGGCCTATGTCCAGCTGTGGACAATTAACAGCTGATATAATGATGATAATCTCCATTTTCCTTAATGTACCTAGAGCTTTATAATTGACGTACTCTTATCACCTATTTATCAGTAACAGAGAACAGCGGCTGGGGAGAAGAAATCGTTAGTAATGAAGAGAAGCAGCCCCATTACTATTAATACGACCTGTCAGATCGTACTCCACGCGGAAATCACGTAGAAACACGAATGAGACAGAGACGCCCAAGCAAAGGACTTTGTAGTCTCCGTCTGGCAATAATAATTAAACATGATCGTTTCCCATGGGAAACCGCGTGGAGGTCAACCTAGTAGGGTATATTGCTAATAATGGGTTTGTTAGACCCCCATTATTACAATTTCTTTCCCCTTCTATTACAAGTTTGTTTGTGATAAGACGGTTAGTATCAGTCAAATACAAACTCATGACCATAACAGTCTTTTTTGAGTGAATAATTAGGCAAGATAAATATCTATTTCTTTAATTCAAATAAATACATCGCCTGTTCCCTTACACCTTACAATTACGTGGAGGCCACGCCGAAGAAGAAGCCGCCGACGAAGCCCACGGAGTAGCAGCTGTTCCTCCTCATGTAGCGCAGCAAGGACTCCACCAGGGTCTGGCTGCGGTCCCCGAGTTCCTTCACTCGTTCCCAATTCACGCTAATGTAACCGTACTGACTGGCGAAATGGAGTAGGATCACCCCACCGCCTAACCCAAACGCTGCTACCTTGCCCACCCTCACCAAAATCACGCCAGAAACCCACCCTGACACTGTACCGAGAATTAAATTCTTACTCTCACTGTTGCTTATTTTCTGCACGGCTCTGTCGAACACAGACTTCTCTTTAGGTTTGATCTCATTTAGTTTCGTGATGTCGAATAACTTTGGGTCTATCGGTCTGGCCATTCGTTGGCATTGTACGTTGGATAAGAAACGTAAAGTAAGAATTTTTGATTCGTTTGCTTTCTTCAGTTTTGTGTTTGGTTTATTTTGGTTTGTTGACAGTTCTGGTTGAATGACAAAGTTGAAGTTAAAGAACTCTGTCGATAGCCACAATCGTCTAGATGTCTTAGATATAATAAAAGAGGTTAATATTGTCATAGAATAGGTCGTAAGAGGTGAGTAAAGGAACTCGATGGTCGAGGGCAGGAGCGTCCCTCCTAAAACACCACCAGAGCTTAACTCCACCTGCCAAGTGTAGCAACTACCAGCAAATTATGTGGATCCCCCAATAGTGGGAGGGATATTTAGCAGTTAATGGCTGATATAATAACTCAGTTCGAATGAAAAATGACAAAACTGTGTAATAGTTAAAATAGGTTTATATTAGTTTTTGTGAATATGAAAGTTTTTTTTTATACAACTTAGAATGGCAAACAAGCTGACGGCCCACCTGATGGAAAGTGGTAACCGTCGCCTATAGACATGAGCAGTACCATGGACATAACACAGTATACTGTTTCGACCATAATACCCCCCATGCGTTGCCATTCTTGAGGACTCAGGTGTTATTCTTCCGTACCCAGAAAATTCACGCCATATCCCACCCTTCAAACCGAAACACAGCTGCTTTACGGTTGAAACACGAATGGGACAGAGGTAGCCAAGCAATCGACTTTTGTACAAAGTCTCCCTCTGGTATATGTTTACACTAAAAATTAACTATGGTATTTATAAAAAGTTGCCGATCGTGCATCGGTTAGTGCATCATCAGTGATGCTTCTAATGTCTATATTCTATGGTCATTTACCATCAAGCAACCCGTGGTATGTTAGACTACTATTACAATACGCTCTTACTGAATATTCACAGCAGCAGTTTCAGTCTTTGACCATGTAATGATTGTCAAGTTCCCTACAACGTAAACAGTCGACAAATGCCCCCAACTATACCATTAGGGTTTATAATGTAACCAAACTGTACTGGAATCAATATCAATAGGAGCGCCCAGTAACTACGTGCGAGCACGACGGCACTTATTCGATGTTCCATTACGAAGAACAGAGTTCGCTAAGCAGGCTCCCCCATCTCTTGCATTGAAACTACTCAATGATATTTTGAGCCAGTATCCGCAATTGGATGTATTTGCCTCCAACTTGCTGGAGTTCTCGTCGAGTGACCACAGAGTATTTGTGTTCAGATGTTTTTTGTTTCAGTTAAATCTTTTTATTTTTGTGTAATATTCCTTTTTATATGTTATTGTACTCATGCTTTCCTGGGTGAGCGTATTGGAAGACTGTAAGGCTCACCCAGTGGATGTAATAAATAAATAAATAATCCTGGGCATACTTTTTATAACGCTTATTTTTTGTACCTGACAAGAAAAGTAGTACCAGATGCCTATGTTATTATACATACACCTAAATATGTTTCAAAGGCATATAAGAGAGCATTTCATGCAGTGTGGTCCCGGCATAGAATGGATCACACCTTAGAATTAACCACGATGGTTTCCAGGGGGAACCGCATGGAGTGTTGATCCGATAGGGTGTATTATTGGCAATGGGTCAGTTAGTCCCCATTACTAACAATCCCTTTCCCCCCTTCGAAAGCACAATACATTAGTGCAGGAAAAACTCATAATAAGACTATGCCCAACCATTTTACCAGAGGGAGACTGTAGAAAAGTCAATTGCGTGGGTACCTCTGTCCCATTCGTGTTTCAACCGTAAAGCAGTTGTGTTCGCATGACTGTGTTTCGGTTTGAAGGGTACGATATGACGTGAATTTACAGGGTACAGAGGAATAACACCCGAGTCCTCAGAAATGACAACGCATGGGGGGTATCACGGGCGAAACGGTATACTCTGTTATGTCCATGGTACTGCTCATGTCTATAGGCGACGATTACCACTTTCCATTAGGTGGGCTGACAGCTTGTTTGCCTTTCAGAAAGTTTTTTTTTTAATGTACGATGACCCTATTACCCGATTCTTAGTAAGATATGACTTGATACTGACAGAAGCACTAAACTTAATGTTTTGTTATAACATAAATGTATGTTTTTTTAATATTTTTTTTAATTATTACACTCTAAAAAAAATTTATGTATTTTATAACTATAATAATTCATGCTTCAATTTCCATTTACGCCATATTTTCAAGCGACGAATTTCGTTCTTTCTCTGGATCCTAAATTAGTCTATTAGTTAAGGACTATATAACTACCTAATATTCTGTTTGGGGGAAAGGGATTGTTAGATACGGACTGTGAGTTCCATTGCTAGCAATATACCCTATCAGTTCGACTTCCACGTGGTTCCCCGGGAAACTATCGTGCTGAGTTCCAGGTGTATTCACGGTGGACTAACTGACCTGCCCTTTTATCCTCACCTATCATCTTTCACTGATGCCCCGCCAACGTATACTGTTAGTGCAGGCGTGGTTACCATACCATTATTATACATAAAAAAAAAATTCTTTTGAATTGCTCCTTTGTGCCAGGCTCTTATCTCTGATCTATTTAAAATACTTTTCCAAATGATAAAGTTTGATAAGTTTTAATCAAGATGCCTTGAAATTTGAGACTACAACGTTATGTTTAACACAAATTAACACCAATATATTTGACTAGCTTATTGCCCGCTACTTTGTACGCGTGGATTTCAGAAGGAAAATCAATTGAAATAGTCTATGCATCAAGTTAAAATATACGCCAGATTTTAAATTAGACCTGCAGAAACAACTTAAAACCTTATCTAATTTGGTGCAGTATTTTTTGCGTAATGCAGTAACAAACATACAGACAGACAAATTTCTGAAAATTACTCTTCTAACATGTCTTCAATGGTCTTATTAAGACCGCTCTCATTAGTTTTTCTTAAATATCTCCCATGTACTTGGCTGTTATGTATTTTATTTCGATAATTTCTCTTATCTCTCTTTTTATATATATATATATATATATATATATATATTCTTGTATTTCTTTTTTTTGCGAATACTTATATATGTGTCTGTTGTAATTTGTGTGCTGTAAGTAATGCAAATAAATTATATATCTATCTATCTATGTACAGATATAGTCTAGTTAATTTTTTTTTATGATTTTTCAAGTACGTCACATTTCTGCCTTAAACGACGTTGCAGATCAAGTCTACGTATTTAGCTAGCTATTGTTCAGGTATGAATTTCCAAATTTATATTTGGATCTTTTAAATATGTCTGCTACTCACTGTGTGCTCCGGAGAGCACGTAGAGTCGTCGTCTGACAAACCACGTCAGAAGCCTTGGCGTAAAAAGCGCCCTAGAAACTCTTGATACCAGAGGACGACAGCTCCACACAATTAGTAATAATAGTACTATTGACTTTAATATTGCGTCACAGTGTAAATTTTTGATCCTAAATTCCAAGTCATCATTAATTACAGGATAAAATCGAAATTTTAACAAAAACATTTTTACGAAGCAGCTGGAAGTTCTAGGGTGGGCACTAGACAGTTGTAGGGTGGGCACAGTTCACCTGTCACCCCTTAAACTTTTTTTTTATACAACTTAGAATGGCAAACTGACGGCCCACCTGATGGAAAGTGGTAACTGTCGCCTATAGACATGAGCAGTACCATGGACATAACACAGTATACTGTTTAGCCCATGATACCCCCCATGCGTTGCCATTCCTGAGGACTCAGGAGTTATTCCTCTGTACCCAGTAAATTCACGCCATATCCCACCCTTCAAACCGAAACACAGCTATGCAAACACAACTGCTTCACGGTTGAAACACGAATGGGACAGAGGTACCTGCAATCGACTTTTGTACAAAGTCTCCTCTGGTAAACGCACATATAACGCAGGGAGCGTTATAAGATTGTCATTGACTTCGATTGTACCCTGTATATTGAAATAGAATGAAATCGGTTAAAAATAACTACATATTTTCTGTTTAGTCCCTTTAGACAAGTGACAGCAAGCATTTATAGACTCGTACTGCTGGCAAGTCCATGAGTTGGAATAAGATACAGTGAACGCTTTATATAAGCAACCTCTCTATAAGCATAGCTTAGTAAAAGAAATAAGTAAAAATATTTTCCAAACGGTAAGTATAATACTTACCGTTTGGAAAATATTTTTACAACTTAATCCTTTTTTCTCCGTAAGCAACTTTTCCGAATAAGATTTTTTTCCTATTGAAATTAGTTCAAAAGAGTTGCTTATATAGAGCGTTCATTGTATAAGACGTTGCTATCTCATTCCATCTCATGGCGTCGTCGGCGATGTCGTTTCTATAGACGGAATCGTCTGGCACTCGTGTCGAGGCGCACGCCACTGCACTAGTATACGTCTGAAATATTTGCCAAACACACGACATACACAACTAACTACATGCTACAAGCTGAGCGGGGGGTGGGCAGTAAACAAAAATAAAACTTGTCCGGGCGGCGCGCGGGCGGCGGACCGGCCGCGCGCCTGCCGGCATGCACACGTTTAATTCCATTGAATGTATTTCAATAAAATCATAATTTCTTCACTTGTTAGGTATTGTCCATATCATAGCTAACTATTAAATATAATATTTACACGTGGTTCCGTACACTGATACGTCGACGACCGCGTCGCCCCATTAAATGCGATTCCATGAAAAAAAAAAACGTAATATTGAACACCTATTAGAAACTAAATTAATAGCTATCTATGTTAAACATATAAAGAGGTTATCTCTGTTATAAGACTCGGACGCAGAATGTTCGAGAACATTGCACAGCCGTCGCTCGTTAGGGGCCGGCTATCACAAGGCTCATTGCACTGGCGGCTTCTATACAAGTCCAAAGAGTGTATGCATACACTCCGCATACATTTATTTCACTTTTGATCCCATAAACGACCCGCGTATTCTTTAAAAAGAAAACACCTTATTAAAAAACAATGTCTAACGCCAACATTAATTACTGAAGTGTTTCGTCTTTATCCTATGCGGTAATTCCTCAATATGAAGGAGAGAGACAAAAAAAAACCTAATAGAAAATAACTAGAAAATATTTAAACTTTTGCCACTATCTTTCGAATAAGAAATACAGTACAATAGAAAGAGACAAAACACTTCAGTAACTGAACTCAACAACAGACGATTGACATTTATATCAATAAGGCGGTGTACACATTTACAATACGATAGGAATAATAAATATTTTAGGCAGTTTACATATTTCTTGCACTAAACATTTTCCATTTCGCTCTCATAAAATTAAAAACAGTTAGGTCTCGTTCACATTGCAATATAGCACGTATTTTTTATAAGATGAAGTATTTGACTCTTACCGAATAAATATGTTAGCGGTAAACATACATACTAGAATTGTTCACATGTCAGTTAGCTATACGTTCGCTTTACAGACAACGGGTGTGACGATTCTAGAATAAACATACTCCGCCATCTACTTATACATTTGGTAAGCTTCATCGTGTAAAACCCATGCGTTATATTTCAGTGTGAACAAGCCCTAATTTCTGTCAAAAGTAAAATAAAAGTATGTAAAGGAATTATTACAGTACGCGGATAAATGTGACGTTCCGTAGACAACACTAGTTGTACATACACAAATATACAAATCATCAATAGTGATACAGGTAGACGAATCGATTCAATCGATTCTCTCTTCTTAATCGATAACAATCGAATGTAATTTACAATTTTATTTATATTTTTTACAAATGAATAATCGACTTAATTTAACAAATCAAGCACTGAGGGACCAGTCTGAAAATAAAATATCACAATTAAAAATTTCAAATGCGTTCCCAATTAATCAACATGTGTAAAAAGAATCATCAAATGGAGAACATTTTTTGAAGTTTAAACATCAACTAATAATAATAAAAAATATACGTTTTATTAAGTAACCAACAATATTACTCAATAAATGAATAATATTCGAGTTTCAACCAAATGAACACTGTATTACCCCCTTATTCGTAAAAGTTACAACCTCCTTCACTATCAAATGTTTTGTCACTTTCTTTCATATTAAAAAATTGTGGACAAGAAAGAGACAACACTTTAAATAGTTATAAATATATTTTATAAGGAGTTTAACGTTTACACGATAAGGGGAAATGTTACAGTAACCAATTACACAATCAATAAGAGAATCACAAGACCTGATGGTAAATATTACTTCGTCGGACTTTGGAAAGAGATATTCGGCTGGCATTAGCTTTGTATAGTGTTTCAAAACAACGTAACTTAATGGCAATCAAGTTTTGTTAAAATTATTACAAAACCAATAGGTAAATATTGTAACGGTGTGCTATTCAAGCATTATCCTTGGGAATCTTAATTATTTGAGGTATTTTGCTCCAGACTGGTTGAAATAAGACCGTTCAGGGACAGTTCTTATCATCATTTCATTGTACGCGAGGTACGATTATTGTGCTAAATTGATTCTGGTTCAACCTTTTAATTTGTACCGCGTGATGCGTTAAAAACGTGAATTTATCTCCCAACAAAAGAGAGAGTATATGGTCTACATCGAAGGAATTCGTTTGATGTCATATTTTGATTATCGATTGCCGTAACTTATTTAGCATTTTAAAAATATCAGCCATTAAAATACGTTCTACGTATGGGAAAAAAACGAACATAGGAGTGACAGAGATACTCTGTAAACTACAGCTAACCGTCTCTTTTCAAAATCTTACGAATAACATTCATTTCAAATACGTTACATGTACACAATAAGTTCAGAATATAACCACATCTACAATCTCAACGAGACGTCACATTTTGTACCTTAGTTACACTATCGTAAGACCCCAAACGAACGATAACACATTGAAATGAATTTGCAAATCGACGGACGCAAACTAGTTCAGACACACGCGCGACTAAATAATTATCACAAAGCAGCGGCCACTATACACAGATACAGGGTCTAATAAATAGACAATAAGAGTCGTATAAGTCTCCATCTATACAAAAAATGAGTATTGCAAAATACGTGTCAACAAAAATATACTAATATAACAAATCCATCGATAGCTGCATTAAAAAAGTTTTTTACAGCAAATTTTAAGTACGCAGGCCAGCGGTCGGTTCGAATCCGTCGAATTGCACGGTACTCACTAAAATTATACAATATAATTTTAAATAATCGCTCCACTATCTACACGGCTGCACCGGGCAGCGCAGTCTGCGGTCGGTCGGCTCCCCGCCGAGTGATCGCGGCACAGCGACAATAAGCGTACAGCGCGGCCGGCCGGCGCGCGCCTGGCTGGCCGCCAAAATGAGACTGGGAATAATACTTGGAAGTTTTGTACTCGTTTTCGATCAGTGGACTAAGCCAAGTCGGGGAGGAGTGTCAGTCGAATCGAACTCGGCGCGTTCGCGGCGCGGCGGTCAGACGGGCGCGGGCGCGGCGGCGGGCGCGGGCGCGGAGGCGGACGCGGGCGCGGGGGCGGGGGCGGCGGCGGGCGCGGGCGGGGAGGGCGGCGGCGCGGGCGCGGGCGGCTCGTCGCGGGGCTCACCTCGCGGCTCGTCGGTGCCGTCGGCGGCGGCCGCGTCGCCGGCGGGCGCGGCGGGCGCGGCGGGCGCGGCGGGCGTGGCGGGCGGCGCGGCGGGCGCGCGCGGCTCGTAGGGCGCGTAGGGCCGGTAGGGCCGGTAGAGCAGCGGCGGCGGCTGCAGCGCGCGCGGCAGCGGGTAGGCGGGCGGCGGCAGCAGGTGCGGCGGCAGCGGGTGCTGCAGCGCGGCGTACGCGCGCTGCTCGTCGCGCGCGCGGCTGTCCTTGTCGCGCTGCAGCCGCTCGCGCTCGCGCTCGCGCTGCTCCTTCTCGCGCTGCTCCCGCTCCCGCTCTCGCTCTCGTTCGCGCTCCCGCTCGCGCTCGCGCTCTCTGGAATTGTCCAGTGGAATTTTAGTGCTGGCTCGAAGTGAAAACCTGCTCGTTGTTTCCTACCCACAACAGTCATTATATATACCACAAATTATCTTATAAATAGATGCTATAGTAAGTCTCGATCAGGCCAATTTAAAGGACGTACTTTTCCAAATTAGCTCGGATCTACCTGTTCTGGGAAATATTGTCAAATACTCATTTTAAAAACTTTCAATCGAGTCCAACATAGGGCACTTCTATTGAAATATCAATCATTTGGCCTTCCCGAAAAATTGCGCAGATTAGTATCCAGTTTTCTATCTGAGCGTAACATAAGCATCTATATAGACGGCGCATGCTCTGAACCTTTGCCCGTTAACGCTGCAATACTCCGAGACTCTGTACTGTCACCTACACTATTCGTCTTGCATATTAATTACATGATGCAAATTAGAAGCGTTTACTGTTATACGGATGCCAATACTATATGTATCATAAAAGTAATATGCTAATATCCCATGAACTATTTCGGTAGAAAATAAAAGATATTTGACACTTGATGTTAAAGAATCTCTGGAGTAGGTTTCGAAATAGGGGAAACATACTTTAACTCCCGAAATCTATGCTCATCTCCTCAAATTCCACTCCTTAGCATAAATAAGCTCCTGTTTTACAAAGCCCAAATCCGCCCACATATGTAGTATTGTTCACATCTTTGGGCAGGAACACCCCAATATCAACTCCTTCCACTTGGCACTATGCAGACCGGTTCGAGTTGTCGACGATCCCATGCAAACGGACAGTTTAAATTCCCTGATTTTGATGTAGGATGTTGCTTTTTATTCATTTTCTATCGTCTGCACAAAGAGGAATGATCTAGGGAAATATATGACCTGATGCCATCGTCACTCTTTTATCATCGTACCTCTCGTTATAAGAGTTGATGTTTTCGCTATTTTTTTAGGAGCGTGGCATATTCCAACTTACAATATAATATGGGGTATTTCAAAGAACGTGCGCACAAATATTTAAAAGACTGGCAACGCACAAGTGACTCTTCTCGTGTTGCAGATGTTAATAAGCGACCGTAGCCGCTTTCCATCAGGTGGACCGTCTGCTCGTTTGCCTTCCTTACAATAAAAAAAAAAACCACATCGGTACTTAACTAAGTACTATGTATTTCATAAAAAAATATAATTACCTCTCTCTTTCCCGTTCGCGTTCCCTCTCCCGCTCCCGCTCGCGCTCCCGCTGCAGCGCGATCTCCTTCTCGCGCTCTTCGTGCAGCGCGTGCTGCGCGTGGTGCGCCTGCAGCGGCGCGTGCGGCGCGTGCGGCGCGTGCGGCGCGTGCGGCGCGTGGGGCGCGTGCGGCGCGTGCGGCGCGTGCGGCGGGTGCGGCGCGTGCGACACGAGCGGCAGCGGCGGCGCCAGCGGCGGGTACAGCGCGTACGGCGGCAGCCAGCCCACCCCGACACCGCCGCGGAATACACGCTCCAGGTACATTTGCTCCTCCGCCGCTAATCTGATCACGTGCACGAGAAATGATGCTACAATGACACTTCGACAAGACTTACTGGAATTTATTGGGTTATTAACAAAGGTAAACTTCGAAAGTCGGCTATAAAATTAACCTCTATTTTCCTCGTGTATCAGTCCGCCATGCATGTGTTCGAATGCTTGCATGACTGTATTTCAGTTTGTTACCAATTCCTGCTACTTCGTAGCAGGAACAGTCTTCGACATAACAACTTATTCCTCAGGAGTGGCAACGTATTATTTTAGGCTTAGGACTGTTTAAATCTACAGGCGACTAATTATTTAACGTTTAAAGTTACATAAAAATATCCCTTCAAAAGATAAGACGCCTATGTTTTGTTACTCTTCTTTCTAGTTACATTTTATCAACTTAAATATTGATAATTCTGTTTCTAACTTATATGCTATTCTTATTTTTTTTAGTTTGCGTCCATTATATACTTTCCAAATAATCTCATCATATCAGCCGTCTGTCCACAGTTGGACATAGGCCTCCCCCTGAAGAAGTTTTGTCATTAGTTGCCACACTTTATACCTAACACTGTTAGGCCTCTGTGATATTTCAAGAGGCATACTGCCCATTCTTCAACCACACCAGCAGACTATTATAGCAACACCCTTGTATAAGAACATTCCACGACCGACTGCAATAGGGCTGACAGTCTTTCTTTAACGAATCAAACCTCTCTCTAATCATAAATGAAAGCAGTAGCCCAATACAATGTAACTTTATACGAGAATAGCCATATGTAATACTAACCTGTACTGCAGCGCTGCGCTTGTGTAGAGACCGGGGTGGCCATACGGGGAGCCGACAGCATACGTCGGCTCCAGCAGTGGAAACGACGCGGCCGCCGGGTGGGATAGTCTGCGAGCAATCAGGACACGTTTTATACAGTTGAGTACATATCAGAAATTCGCCTTTTCTAGAACTTTAGTGTATTCATTCACCTACCTTGATCTGTTCCTAAGCAATCGAAACTAGATGCCCTAAACAAACGAATCTATCGATTTAATCATTTCAGTCACCAGAATCAAGCGGCACACATTGCCATCTCATTCTATCTCATAGAGTCACTAGGGAAAACGATAGTTTTTTGTCTATTCATTTCATAAGTACCATTTCTGGCTATGTATCTTTACACCCCTTACAGAGTAGGCAGAGAAATCACAGATATATTTGTTGGTTCTCTAAGCTAGTAGAAAAAAAATTGCAGAAAACTCACCTATCATCAGGTCTATAAGGTTGAAATCCGCTAGCAGGAAGGTGGTGTGGCGAGGCGCGTTTCGTCGGTGCCGGCGGGGGCTTCTCCTTATCCCGGTCGGGGGTGGGCGCGCCGCTCGCGGTGCCTGCACACTCGCATACTCAACATGGTCCTCCGGGTCCGGACGGTTCATTGAACACTTTGTCCATCCCAGCCTGAATCCTGACCAGATGCCTAGGCTATCGGACTCGTCATTAAGTATTCAATTTGTTATTTTACAAAATCAACACGCGGACGGAATTTATAGTCCTTCGAGCTGGATATCTGGTCCTTCAAGCCGGACATCTGGTCTTTCAAGCCGGACATTTGGTTATTTAAACCAAATGCCACTGAAAAGGATCTATGGAACATCGAGTCTGATGGTTTGTAGAATTATGAAGGTTGAAGTATCAATAAGCCAGCCTATTTGGTAAATGATAACAAGAATCATATTTCATTTGGATCAGATTTCTCAATATTTTGAAACAGTTTTTAGATCCCTTGAACTATAAATAATGTGATCTCAATCCGTTCGATATATTTTTTTAAACAGTACACTTTCCGAGTTATTGTAATGTTAAATGAAGTTCCTTACAAATATTTAATTACACAATACAAATTAGATTGACTAAAGTGATTTAATGTCAACAAACAATACGACTTTAGTCAATCATCACAATATTCATCAAATATTATTAACTTACAAGTATATATGTGATATATATGTATATATAGGTATATGGACGAATACAAAACCCAACAAGTGCTTGTTGGCGTGGCTTTTATTTGTTTAAAAAAATAAAAAAGGTTAGCTGCCACGAGCGACGGTGTATTTTGAATGGAAAGCAATTAATCTTGCATCATATTTTGGAGAATCTATACAAAATACAGCATGAGAGTGTAACTATGGGCACTGACTGAAAAACTGCTCTATACAATTTCATTATTACAAATTGAAATTTTTGATGTAATTTAAAATAATTTCATATTGTGTGTTTTTCCTGTCCCGTGGGTGTAGTAAGAGGCGACTAAAGGAGGGCGAGGGCTGAATAGCAGCGTCCTTCTTAAAATATGTCTAAAGCCTAACTGCGGTTGCCAATCTGCGCTGCCAAGCGTGGCAACTACTGGCAAAAATCCCCAATAGGAAAGCCTTATCTTCAGCAGTGTATAGTTAAAGGCTTATATAATATGATTTATATATATTATTTATGATTATTTGCATCTATACCTATCAGACATCTTTATAAAATAAATCCTTTTGGAAGTTACAATGAATGATAAGCGCATTTCATTTACAAGACTAGAAACATTGAAAATATTCAAAATATAATTTATCTAGGACCCACAGTACATTCTCTGATTAGAAGGACTAGTAGGGGCTCCGCCATATGACCAGCTAAAAAGACACCGTGGCTCGTGCTAGCCTGGGGGATCAGGGCTGAGGAGTTGCGTCTAAAGACTCACCGTCCTTGCCGTCGGGCCCCGCGTTCTTGGCGAGGGTGCGCAGCGCGGCGGCGAACGGACCGCCCTTGTTGGGCGCCAGCTCGGTCCGTTTGGCTATTTTGTTAGCGCTCACGCCTGCAAAGATAGAGAGAAACTCTGGTTAATATATACATAAAATCATGCGTAATAAAAAAACTTCCATATAGAATACAATTTTTTTTTTTGTTTTTATATATACTACGATCTGTCTCCTTGCTGGGACAATAAATAGTATTTTTGACGGATATTTTAATGGCGTGCTCAGTACGCGACTTGAGTCGCATCCTACTTTATTTTAGAGAACCATGTCTTGGGGCATTCTGCGTTTCAGTCTGCGAGTTGTGTGACTTACGTCCATAAGATCTCTTGCCGGTCTGTTAGGGTGTTTTGTTATCCTCTCCTTGTAGGATTGTGTGTATTGTAGTATTTCCTGTCTAACAGTTCCAATTTTTAGGTCATGATGTATTTGCTCGTTTGTGACAAACCAAGAAACATTGGTTATATGGTAATATTTCTATAGATAGCGCATAGGCAGGGTTACCATTCTATTATCACCCACAAATAACACTGTTGTAGCACTTAAGCTTCAAAAATTTTTTTGCTTGATCTATTTTTAGAAAATCAAATGACACGTCTTGTTTTATTGTCAACTGAAGTAATAATCGATTTTTACTAATATTAATACTTATAAAACGGTGGGGGGGGATGGGATTGTTAGTAATGGAGAATGAGAATCCCATTGCTAGCAATACACCCAACCAGGTCGACTTCGCGCGGTTCTCCCTGGAAACTATCATGGTTAATTCCTAGTGAATTCATCATGATGGGCTAATTGGCCTGTTTTCATTTTCACCCTTCACTGGTGCTCCGCCAGCGTATCCCGTTACCGCAGGCGGAGTTACCATACCATTTTTACCCATCAAAAAAAAAAAACTTATAAAACGATAGGTGACGACGTGTAGTGTGTTTGTGTGCGTTAAGTATGAATGTATGGTATATCTGAATGTAGTGGTATGTGGACAGTATGTTCAGATTACATAATTATATTCCTTTATTTTTCTTTATGAACAATATACCATAAATAGCTACAACAAATACTCTAGTTCTCAAGTATGGCAACACATGAGGAGTACTATGAGTGTCACAGTATATTTTGCAATATTCGTGGAATAGTTCATGTCTATAAGCGACGGTTACAACATTCCATGGGCCATGCGGCATCAGTTTGCTATTCAAAGTAGATATAAAAAAAAAAAAAAAATTATATACGTCATGGAACATTTCCCCATCCACGTCAACAGAATAATTATTGACACAGCAGAACGACAAAACATAATTAGTGTAGGACAATAATTGTAGCGACAATCTGATAAATATATCACGGGGGATTGTGTGAACGGAAGTCGGAAAGATGTTCGTTTTGGCCTAGTTCCGGTTAAAATCCAATTGGATCCATAAATAAAATGTACTAGTAAACATGTTATTGCTACAATTCAACGCAAATCCAGAATCGGGAGTTTCTTTTAAAAGATTTTCGAAAGGGGAAAACTATCAATTCTGAACTGAGTGACCGAGACATACAGTGCTCTTTGCCTACCTCGCAAGAAGTCTGGCGTGAAAACTTACAAAAAGTTAATAAAATGTCAAATATATGAAATGACAAAATTTATAAAGTTTACTTTGCACATATGCAGGTTAACCTCGCGGTCCTCTCTGGAGACCATCGTGCTTAATTCCTAGCAAATTAATCACGATGGACTAACTGACCTTAATTTTTATCCTCACCTGTCATCCCTCACTGCTGTGCCACCAACGTATACTGACGGCAGAGGCGAGACTACCATCTTATTTTCATTCATCAAAAGAATAAAAGATCCTAGACCACGCGTAACGATTCGAAAGCTTACATAAATTTAAATATATGTATATTACACTGACCAATTAACTCACTGTCCTGATGACACATCCAAACCTTGACTAATCATCAGATATAGTATAGAGACTGTTCAATTATATTCCTTATTTCAATAAAACATACAGTAATAATAACAATTAGAAACTGTTGAGATGGTTGGATGGAAAAATAGACGAGAACTTTTAATATTTCTTATATTTATTATATTATATATTCTAGACATGCGACGCAAGTGACAGAGGAAATCAGAGAGCGAAATACAATATGGCGTGCGCCGAGTTATTCTCAGGGCGATAACAGATGGCGGTACGTGTCCCCTTTACATAAATATGATTAATAAATTTAACATAATTACAACAGAAACAATGTAAATAATAGTGAACTTATCTCTGAAAGAGATCTCTTTCAATCAACCTCACTCCACTGCTCACTCACTACCTCCTATGCCAACCAGTAGCATAGGAAGTGGTGACTGCATTGCTTGTATCTGCTAGAAGTTGTGACTTTTGTATTATTTTTTATATTTAACATACAAGTATGAGCAATAAATTGCATCCACGTCGTCCCCAGTTTAAACACACCGAGTACTTCCCAAATGAAGTATATAATACGACCGGTAAGGTCAGGGGGCGAAGGCCGAGGGTGGACAGGACATCGTTAATTTTTGGACAGCTGACAAATCGCTCGCTACCGGTGGACGTTTTAAACTAAGGGCGGGAAGTCACGCGTGCGTGGTTTTGTTTTTTTAACATTTTTATTACATGCAACTTAGAATGAATGACAAACAAGCTAGAAGCCCGTGGTAACCGTTACATATGATATGAACAGCTCTATGGACAGGACAGAATATACCGCCGCACCCTTGATAGGATATCATGAGTTACCATTTATGTGCTCTTCCTAAACATACTAACATTCTTTGACCTTTGTTTGTGTCTGTATTATGCGATTACATTGCCAATTGAGGCCTATAAAATCAAGGGCAGCTAAACGTCATAAAGTCGATTGCATTTTCACTCTGTACTCAAATATAGAGAGATTTTGGGGGGCAAGGGATTGTTAGTAATGGAGACCGAGATTCCCATTGCTAGCAATATACCCAACCAGGTCGACCTCCTCGCGGTTCTCCCTGGAAACTATCATGATGAATTCCTGATGAATTCATCATGATGGGCTAACTGGCCTGTTTTCATTCTCATGTATCACCCTTCACTGGTGCTCCGCCAGCGTATCCCGTTAGCGCAGGCGGGGTTACCATACCATTTTCACCCATCAAAAAAATAATATAGAGTTTTATTAATTAAAATTCAAATAATTACTAATGTTCTAATTTTTTTTTAATCTAATTTATAGAATAACGTTTCATATCCTTGACAAAATATTAGTTTTTGTAGTTTCCTGCACATTTGACAGACATGGATTTAGCTGTCTTTGATTTTATAGGCCTCAATTATGAATGGTTTATCACAATTCTTTTTGTAATAATATGGTTTACTCTCCCGTTGGACCCATTTTAATTGTGTAACGGCTGAAGCTGACGATATTATTTACAACTATGGTAGCGTACAAGCCTACGGCCCGTCTGATGGTAAACGGTCACTGTAGTCTATGGACGCCTCTAACACCAGGGATGTCATGCGCGCATTACTGACTCTTAAGACGCCCTTTTTTAAAAACCTCATGTTGTAGCCTCTAGGGAAAGCCTCTAAAATAAAATATACTTGTAAACACCCAAGTGTAGTGTTTGGCACCCCACCAGCGTAAATAAGTAAATCTTCATAATATCATCCTGTTTTCAAGCGAAATCAAAAAGAAGTAGGTTCTCAGTTCGATTGTATGTTTTTTATGTTTTTTACCTGATAACTCCGTCAGTAGAAAACAAATTTGGAAAATTATTTTTTCATCTCAAAGAATATACTCACAGATTTGTCCCGATGAAATTTCTTCATGAAAATCGGCTCAGTAGTTTAATTTTTAAATAAAAATAACTTGTTTTGCTACAAATGAAGTCAGTTTTTGTGGAACACAATCTCAATTATCATACATCAAATAATGAGGGAGAAAGAGAGTCATAGATTATCCAAAAGTTTCCAAATTTAAGCGCCGGGTTTTTGCGTCTGTCGCGTCCACTTGTTTACACTTAACTACATTGACAATGACTGAGATAGTCAATAGATCATTCATTCTCAGGGTAGTAGCGTTACGTCCCACTGAGCTGACCTTCCAATTGACACGAATGATTCAGCTGACACCAACTAATATAATTGCATGATCTCAAGAACTAGCTGGCTCGTCTTCATGCAGCCATTTTGAATCGGTCTTAAAATCAGGGAGCTATAAATTCGACTATAATTTTTGTATGTTATGGGATATTTTCGCTATAATGTTAAGCGATTTCCATGATTCATCTTTAATTTGCCATCTTGATCATATTGACAAATTGAGTATTAAACTTTTTCCAAAAGAGGAAAGTTCACAATTCATCCGTATTTTTGTGTATATTTTTTATACAACTTAGAATGGCAAACAAGCTGACGGCCCACCTGATGGAAAGTGGTAACCGTCGCCTATACACATGAGCAGTAAGTACCATGGACATAATATACTGTTTCGCCCATGATACCCCCCATGCGTTGCCATTCCTGAGGACTCAGGTGTTATTCCTCTGTACCCTGTAAATTCATTGCCATATCTCACCCTTCAAACCGAAACACAGTCATACAAACACAACTGCTTCACGATATAAACACGAACGGGACAGAAGTATCCTAGCAGACGACTTATGTAGAAAAAAAACTTTTAACTTTTGTTTCTTTTATTCTTTATTTTTGTAAATTTGTTTGTTTGTCTGTTGAGTTTGTTTCTTGGCGTCTTAATTACACTGTTACTAAATCAATCGCGCACATTTTACGTACATTTTACCGTACGACGTACATTTTAACTAGATCAATCAACATATCCCGGTCACACAGACAAAGTTGTGAATAAAAACTAGTCAAACATATAACACAGTGGCCTGTGGTCAAGCAACTATATATTTGTATACTACATCGCCCGTGCACAGTGTGCGTCATTGCGTGTGATTCAATTGACCTCTGTTGGACCAGCGTTTGAGCGACTATGTACACACGACCCCACAGTTTAATTAATAGACATTACTCCGCTCTCTAACTGAAGCATT